ATCTTTACGAGTTAGTACTTAAGAAAAACATTAGCGTTATATTTTCATCATTTGAACTTTAATAATTGTGATAATTAATGATCGTTCAATGATGAAAAATATCCGTTCGAACGTTCGAGCAAACAAATGTATATGGTGAGACACTTACACCATACCAGCATTATTTTTCATTTTATCGAATTAATTCTCAAGAAAATAATTCTTATAATTTCAATTACATTATTCCAGAGTAGATGTATCATAAGTGATCAGAAATTTTTTGTTCTCAAGAATTTTTCATATCTTATTTTAAAAGGGCACGTGTAATTTCAATTATTACCTGTCCATTATTATTATTTTTTTTTTTAATATTTACCAGCATCCTTCTCTTTTTATCCAAAGACCATTAAAACACCTGCATCTCTTCGCTGTTTTAATTCACTCTGTTAACACCATCATTCACTTTATTTATGGGAATTGTAAATAATTTTATTCATTTTATTTCAAGGTCATGCGCATCACGGACACAACCCTATTCATTGTTTCTTTCTACCTAAGTTTACTCTCGTCTCTCGAATGTCAAGGACGTGGCATGGTATCTAGACGAATTTGAATCCATGTAAAGTAAGTACTTTCTTTTAATGTTAATAACTTTCTCAAAACTATTTATTCCATTTTCTATCATATAAAAAAGACAAGTGTTAATTTTTATTAATTTCATGTTTAACAAATATTCGTGAAATAATTACATTATTTCAAGTGGCATAGATATGTACCCCAGCATGATAATTTGAAAGAATTTTTTCTTTTTCAAAAACATTTTTTTTCTTTTATATTCTTTTCATTTCTTTTTATTTATTTATTTTTTTTTTTTTAACGAGGCTTCAAGAACATCGATACCCTTTTTTGTTTTCTTCCTTTTTTTTTTCAAAAAAGATTTCCTGACATATTTTTTCTCGTGTTTTATTCCATATAATTACATATTAAAAATAAAAATTACAACATCGTTTTTTTTCTATGTAATTAACACATTCCTTGGTTCGTTATAAAATTAAATGGAAAATAAATTTTTTAAAAAGCAACCTTTACGGTGTAATCACGAAAAATGATTGAAAAATTTGAAAAAATTATCTCGATGAAAATATTGGATTACAAATTTATCATCAGATATATTTTTTTTCAACTGTAACTATATACATATACATATATATAAAATATTTTCATTTTAACAAATAGTGATAAAAAAAAAATCGTTTAATATAAGTACACGTCTGTACAATTTTTCGTATCGTTCGAACTAATCTACTGGGTGAATCATTTGAAATTTTAAAATGTTTTTTATTAATCATATGAAACATAAGTTGTTTGAAGAGTTTAAGTGACCAACAAAATAAACAGGAAATTATATTATAATTATCACATTTATACGTGATATTACAAAATAGTAATTATAAATATTTCAAGGGAATATTTAATTATCCAAAAATGAATGCTATCGTAAAAGAATTAAATGAAATGTACTTAATCAAAGAGGTATTAAATAGATAGAAAGATTTCACAATATTTCCGCACGAAACATTTAAAAGTAGCGTTTATTTGTATAAGTAATAATCGATAAAAAGAAAAAAAAGGATAGCAGAAAAAAAGGAAAGACAATTAATAATAATCCATTTAAATGACATTATTCCTAATTAAAAACGGTAATATTATACTTTTCATTATCAAAATTATTGCAAGCTATACAATACCATAGCGAAAGAAAATGAATTTCGCATTATCTAGTAAGGAAGATTACGATTAGTATATTGCGTTTAATTGTTGTATAGTGGTTATATATAATAAGAAAATATTTTACCGTTGCAAAATGGTCATTGGATACAACAATAGCACCCTTCACCGATAAACTGCACGGCCTCATGCTTCTCATTATCAAAAAGAGTAACAAATTTTGCGTCTTCAGAGATAACGAATAAAATGGAATTTGACAGCTGGAAAAAATTAATATCACTCATATAACACTTGTTTATATATTCGATAGATAGAAAATAACTTCTGATTAGTTCTTAAGTTCGTGCGATTTCGACTAATATGATAAAGCTCAAATTTGTTTGAGCTTTCATTTATATTCTGTAATATTTTTCTAATTATATATACATATATATATATATATATATTCAATATGAGGTGGAAACCGCATGAAATTATTGGATCATCCTTGACCAAATAGAAACACATACAATATTGTAAATACTTTGACGTTGTGATTTATTAAATTTTGTGCCAGATAAAAGTATGCATATATCGTAAAAAGAGTTCCAACAACAAAAAAGATCTTTGTTAATCCTTCGGTCAAATTAAGAGTTAAAGAAATTATCTGAAATAACTAAAAACAAATTTCACGACTTTTCTCGATAATAGTTGTATATTACAAAATTAAAAAATATTTTTTTGTACATAAATATAATTAGATATAATACTTACGTAAAAATAATCTATCAAAATAATTATAAATCCAAAGAATTCTTCGAGCAAATGTGTTGCTTCGTAAAACGATTTCAATAAATTAATAAATCTTGAATGATATCAAAAAAAGAAATAATGTAATATTAGTATTTGGCAAGTTGTAAAATCTATAAATAATGAACACGTCCGTCTCATAAAATAAGATACAAACTCAATCGCGTTATTATAGAATTTTATGATATGGATTATCTCTTCTCTTTCTTCGATTAATACACATTTATTACTCGAATAATCGAAATTTTGTTGATTGTTTACAAATCTTTCAATTACTCTCCATCTAAAAGAAATAAATAATAAACTCCAAAAAACAGTAATAGTGAAAATAATTTTTCTTGTGCCGTATGCGTATATCGTTGCAATTAATTTACTTACCGGACGATAGTGAGAAGTGCACAAGCATGCTGGATAACTACTATAAACATGGAATAGTTAGCAACCCCTACATTGCCCGCGATTAATATAATTATAGATTCGATTGTAAGTCCGATGTAGTAAAGTATTCGGTTGTTCATGATAGAGTCAACACGAACTGGTAATATTAATTCCGTTTCATTTATAGAACCACTGACATAACGGAACGCACTTAACAATGATGGAAATATCAAAAATATAATATAAAGATAAAAGGAGACTGTAAGGGAAAAGAACACTAATGAAAATTAATTAATAAATTTTTATAAACCATTTTTTTACTCTGCATATGGTATATTCACTTACTTGCCATTGCTATTGTACAAAGTCTACTAATTTCAGCATATTTCTTCAGTATCACTAATTCTGGTTTGTTTGCCAGGTCATCCCAATCGGTCTTGATACGATAAAAAATTTTTCTCATCTGAAATGTTTACAGAGTTATGTTAAATTAATTATTATAACGACAAGAACATATGTCATTTAGAGTAAAAGAAAAAAAAAAAAATAAAAGGAAAAATTTATTTTCATGTAGAACGGACAACTCTATCATTCAACAATAGATTGCAATAACAAGATCCGTAGCATAATGTAGGCATGATCGTTTCTAGTAATTTGGCAATCAATATTAATTTTTTCTCCGAGATGAAGAGAAAATTCATCTAAAAGAAGAAATGAAAAATAATATTTATACTTATATGATTATATGTCAAAGTATTGAATTCATTCTCTGAATTATTCATCATATTCAAAATTTGCATAAATGAATTGTACATAAATAAATTCAACTATGATTACCTGTTCGAATAGTGCAAAAGCCAGCATGAAATTAATAAAACAAATAAGAATAATGTTCTCCTTTGACGTCTTTTGGCATAATCCAATTAAACGAAAAAATTGACGATTAATCGTGTAATACTCATTGTCGAGATAATCTTCCTCCTTCGAAAGCATATTGCCGTCTGTTGGTGCTCTCCAACATCGATTGTCTTCAACCCCACGCAAGCGTATCATCATTTATTAATCTAATCATCCCATTTCCAGTGAACACTTAATAATTCAATTCGATTCAACGACGAGAAATTTGCTTGAAATAAAAAATAGTATATTCCCGTAAAGTGATTTCGCAGTTCATATAGCTTTCTTTTTTAGCCGATCGATACTACAATTTAACATATGTTTTTGTTCCTAACAATTATGTCATTTACTTACCCCTTCTTTGCATTACAAAGTATTCTAACCCTTCTCCCGCAAGAGCATGCGCGTTGCGAACCCACCCTTTCGGACCGCCTCATTCTCTCGCAGTTCACTTCTGTCCTTCGACCTTGACAGACCTATAGCTTTCTTCATCGAAGTAAAGCTTTAGTACTTAACACGTTAACGGCATAGTTAGGTACCATTTGCATGTTATCAAGTGAATAAGAAATATTTGTTAAGTGTTAATATCTATCTAAATTAGTCTTCGTTTGTTCATAAATACGAATTTATAGGGTGAGTCATTTGTACCAGATTAATATTATTTTCTATTAAATTGATAATGTATTCAGGACAATAATTCGTATTAATTCAATTTTGAGAATTTTTTAAAAACAATTGATATTAACACATATAATCATTTTGTTGTTTCATATGTTTTGTAAAATAACAGTAATCATTATTCTACATAATCGAAAATTATTTCTTTACTTATAATTATTATTATTATTATTATTATTATTATTATTATTATTATTATTATTATTATTATTATTATTATTACTATTATTATTATTATTATTATTATTAATATTATTGTTATTAATAGCAATTAGAAAAAGACGTTCGACGAAAATGTTGGATTAGAAATTTATCGTTAGATATATTTTCTTTCCAACTGTAAATATATTTATATATATATTAGTATATATATATATTTATATATATATATATATATATATATATATATAAAATATGTTGCATTTTAAAAAGAAGTGATATAAAAGAAATAATCGTTCAATATCTATACATGTCTGAACAATTTTTCGTATCTTTCGTACAAACTGATCTACCGGGTGATTCAGTTGAAATTTTAAAGTGTTATTTATTAATCATATGAAACATAAGTTGTTTGATGAGTATAACTGAAAAACAAAATAATCAGGAAATTATATTATAATGGACATTTTTATACGTGACATTACAAAATAATAATTATAAATATTTCAAGGGAATATTTAATTATACAAAAATGAATGTTATCGTAAAAGAATTAAATAAAATTCATTTCATCAAAGAGGTATTAAGTAGACATGAATCAGTACAATATTTCTGCACAAAACAATCAAAACTTGCGTTTATTTGTACAAGTAATAATTGATAAAAAGAAAAGAAAAAATAGCAGAAAAAAGAAATGACAATTAAATGGTGAATCAATGACATTAAACATAACCACAAACTATCATATTATATTTTTCATTATTTAAATTATTGTAAGGTATACAATACCATAGCAAAAGAGAATGACTTACTCATGAACTAGTAAAAAAGATTACGATTAGTATATCGCGTTTAATTGTTGTATAGTGGTTATATATAATAAGAAAATATTTTACCGTTGCAAAATGGTCATTGGATACAACAATAGCACCCTTCACCGATAAACTGCACGGCCTCATGCTTCTCATTATCAAAAAGAGTAACAAATTTTGCGTCTTCAGAGATAACGAATAAAATGGAATTTGACACCTGGAAAAAATTAATATCACTCGTATAACACTCGTTTATATATTCGATAAATAGAAAATAACTTCTAATTAGTTCTTAAGTTCATGCGATTTCGACTAATATGATAAAGCTCAAATTTGTTTGAGCTTTCATTTATATTCTGTAACATTTTTCTAATTATATATACATATATATATATATATATATATATATATATATATATATATATATATATATTCAATATGAGGTGGAAACCGCATGAAATTAATTGTACCATCATTGGCCAAATAGAAACACATACAATATTGTAAATACTTTGACGTTATGATTTATTAAATTTTGTGCCAGATAAAAGTAAGCATATATTATAAAAAGGGATCCAAAAATATATAAGAGCTTCGTTAATCCTTCGGTCAAATTAAGAGTGAAAGATATTATCTGAAAGAACTAAAAACAATTTTCACGGCTTTTCTCGATAAGAGTTGTTTAATTTCAAAATTCAATTTTATTTATAAATATATATATATAATAATATAATTATATATAATACTTACGTAAAAGTAATCTAACAGAACACATATAAATGCAAAGAATTCTTCGAGCAGATGAATTGATTCGTAAAACGATTTCAATAAATTAATAAATCTTGAATGATATCAAAAAAAGAAATAATATAATATTAGCATTTGGAAAATTGTAAACTCTATAAATAATGAACACGTTCTTCTCATATAATAAGATACAAACTCAATCGCCTTATTATAGAATTTTATGATATGTAAGATCTTCTCTCTCTCTTCGATTAATTCACTTTTATTACTCGAATAATAGAAACTTTGTTGATTCTTTATAAATCTTTCAATTGCATTCCATCTGAGATAAATAAATAATATAATCCAAAAAACAGTAATAGTGAAAATAATTTTGCTTGTGCACTATGCATATACTGTTGCAATTGATTTACCTACTGGACGATTGTAAGAAGTGCACAAGCATGCTGGATAACTACTATAAACATAGAATAGTTAGCAATCCCTACAGTGCCCACGATTAATATAATTACAAATTCGATTGTAAGCCCGATGTAGTAAAACATATAGCTTTTCATGAAATAGGTAATGGGAAATGGTAATATTAATTCCGTTTCACTTATAGAACCAATGACGTAACGAAACACACTTGACAATGATGGAAATATCAAAAATACAATATAAATATATAACGAGACTGTAAAATAAAAAAGTACATATTGGAATTAATCAATAAATTTTTATAACTCATTTTGATACTCCGCGTATAGTCTATTCACTTACTTGCGATTGTTAATGTACAAAGTCTGCTAATTTCTGCATATGTTTTCAGTATCACTAATTCTGGTTTGTTTGCCAGGTCATCCCAATCGGACTTGATACGAAAAAGAATTTTTTTCATCTGAAATTTTTACGGAGTTATATTGAATTAATTATTATAACGACAAGAACATATGTCATTTAGAGTAAAAGAAAAAAAAAATAAGAGGAAAAATTTGTTTTCATGTAGAACGGACAACTGTATCATTCAACAATAGATTGCAATAACAAGATCCGTAGCATAATATAGGCAAGGTCATTTCCAATAATTTGGCGATCAATATTAATTCTTTTTCCGAGTTGAAGAGAAAATAAATCTAAAAGAATAAATGAAAAATAATAATTATGATTATATGATTATATGTCAAAGTATTGAATCCATTCTTTGCATTATTCAATATATTCAAAAATTGCAAGAATGAAATGTACATAAATTAATTCAACTATGATTACCTGTTCGAATATTCCAAAAGCTAGCATAACATTAATAAAACAAATACGAATTATTTTCTTAGATGACGTCTTTTGGCATAATCCAATTAAACGAAAAAATTGAAGATTCATAGTGTAATACTCATTGTCGAGATAATCTTCCTCATTCGAAAGCATATTGCCGTCTGTTGGTGCTCTCCAACATCGATTGTCTTCAACCCCAAGCGTATCATCATTTACTATTCTAATCATCCCTTCTCAAGTGAACATTTAATAATTCAATTCGATTCAACGACGAGAAATTTGCTTGAAATAAAAAATAGTATATTCCCGTAAAGTGATTTCGCAGTTCATATAGCTTTCTTTTTCAGCCGATCGATACTATACAATTTTTGACATATGTTTTTCTCCCTAACAATTATGTCATTTACTTACCCCTTCTTTGCATTACAAAGTACACTAACCCTTCTCCCGCAGGAGCATGCGCGTTGCGAACCCACCCCTTCGGACTGCCTCATTCTCTCGCAGTACACTTCTGTCCTTCGACCTTGACAGACCTATAGCTTTCTTCATCGAAGTAAAGCTTTAGTACTTAACACGTTAACGGCATAGTTAACTACAATTTGCATGTTAACAAGTGGATAAGAAATACTTGTTAAGTGTTAATATCTATCTAAATTAGCCTTCGTTTGTTCATAAATACTAATTTATAGGGTGAGTCATTTGTACCAGATTAATATTATTTTCTGTTAAATTGATAATGTATTCAGTACAATAATTCATATTATTTCAATTTTGAGAATTTTTTAAAAACAATTGATATTAACACATATAATCAGTTTGTTATTTCATATGTTTGTAGAATAACAGTAATGTTTATTCTTCATATTCGGAAATTATATCTTTTCTTATTATTATTATTATTATCATTATTATTATTATTATTAATATTATTCTTATTAATAGGAATTAGAAAAAAATGTTCGATGCAAATATTGGATTACAAATTTATCATCAGATATTTTTTCTTTTCTACTGTAATTATATATAAATATTTTGCATTTTAACAAGTAGTAATATAAAAAAAATAATCGTTTAATATCTATACACGTCTGAACAATTTTTCGTATCAATCGTGCTAACTATTCTACCGGGTGAATTATTTGAAATTTTAAAGCGTTATTTATTAATCTTATGAAACATAAGCTGTTTGAAGAAATTAACTGATCAACATAATAAACATGAAATTATATTATAATTGACATTTTTATACGTGATATTACAAAATAGTAATTATAAATAATTCAAGGGAATATTTAATAATCCAAAAATGAATGTTATCGTACGGGAATTAAATAAAATTTATTTAACCAAAGAGGTATTAAGTAGACATTAATGAGTACAATATATGCAAAGGTTGCATTTATTTGTATAAGTAATAATTGATAAAAAGAAAAAAAATATAGCAGAAAAAAGAAATGGCAATTAAATGATGAATCAATAACATTAAACATAACCGCACATGATCATATTATATTCTTCATTATCTAAATTATTGCAAGCTATACAATATCATAGCGAAAGAAAATGAGTTCCGCATTATCTAGTAAGGAAGATTACGATTAGTATATTGAGTTTTATTGTTATATTGCGGTTGTATATAATAAGAAAACATTATACCGTTGCAAACATTTCATGGGATACAACAATAGCACCCTTCACCGATAAACTGCACGGCCTCATGCTTCTCATTATCAAAAAGAGTAACAAATTTTGCGTCTTCAGAGATAACGAATAAAATGGAATTTGACAGCTGGAAGAAATTAATATCCCTCATATAACACACATTTATATATTCGGTTAATAGAAAATAATTTCTGATTAGATCTTAAGTTCGTGCGATTTCGACTAATATGAAAAAGCTCAAATTTTTTCAGCTTTAATTTTTATTTTGTAATATTTATTTAATTATATATACATATATATATATATATATATATATATATATATATATATATATATTCAATATGAGTTGGAAACCGCATGAAATTAATTGGATCATCATTGGCCAAATAGAAACACGTACAATACTGTGAATACTTTGACGTTATGATTTATTAAATTTTGTGCCAAATAAAAGTAAGCATATATTACAAAAAGACATGCAAAAATATATAAGAGCTTTGTTAATCCTTCGGTTATTATAAGAGTGAAAGATATTATCTGAAAGAACTAAAAACAAATTTCATGGCTTTTCTCGATAAGAGTTGTTAATTCCAAATTCAATTATATATATACATATATATATATATATATATATATATATATATATATATATTTTAATAATATAATTATATATAATACTTACGTAAAAATAATCTATCAGAACACATATAAATGCAAAGAATTCTTCGAGCAAATGAATTGATTCGTAAAACGATTTCAATAAATTAATAAATCTTGAATGATATTAAAAAGAAAAATAATAGAATATTAGAATTTGTCAACATGTAAACTCTATAAATAATAAACATGTACGTCTCATAAAATAAGGTACAAACTCGATCGCGTTATTATAGAATTTTATGATATGGATTATCTTCTCTCTTTCTTCGATTAATTCACTTTTATTACTCGAATAATAGAAATTTTGTTGGTTCTTTACAAATCTTTCAATTACTCTCCATCTAAAATAAATAAATAATAAACTCCAAATAACAGTAATAGTGAAAATAATTTTTTTCGTGCAGTATGCGTATATCGTTGCAATTGATTTACTTACTGGACAATGCTAAGAAGTGCACAAGCATGCTGGATAACTACTATAAACATGGAATAGCTAGCAATTCCTACCGTGCCCGCGATTAATATAATTACATATTCGATTGTAAGCCCGATGTAGTAAAACATTTGGTTTTTCATGAAGTAGTCTACAGGAACTGGTAATTTTAATTCCGTTTCACTTATAGATCCAATGAGGTAACGGAACACACTTAACAATGATGGAAATATTAAAAATACAATATAAAGATAAAAGGTGACTGTAAGGGAAAAAGCAAAAATGAAAATTAATAAATAAATTTTTATAAACCAATTTGTTACTCACCATATGGTCTATTCACTTACTTGCGATTGTCAATGTACAAAGTCTACTAATTTCAGCATATTTCTTCAGTATCACTAGTTCTGGTTTGTTTGCCATGTCATCCCAATCGGACTTGATACGAAAAAGAATTTTTTTCATCTGTAATTTTTACGAAGTTATGTTAAATTAATTATTATAACGACAAGAACATATATCATTTACAGTAAAAGAAAAAAAAATAAGAGGAAAAATTTGTTTTCATGTATTACGGACAACTCTATCATTCAACAATAGATTGCAATAACAACATGCGTAGCATAATATAGGTATGGTCGTTTCTAGTAATTTGGCGATCAATATTAATTTTTTTTCAGAGATGAAGAGAGAATGAATCTAAAAGAAGAAACGAAAAATAATACTTATACTTATTTAATTATATGTCAAAGTATTGAATCCATTCTCTGAATTATTCAATATATTCAAAAATTGCAAGAATGAAATGTATATAAATTAATTCAACTATGATTACCTGTTCGCATATTCCAACAGCTAGCATGACATTAATAAAACAAATACGAATTATGTTCTTAGATGACGTCTTTTGGCATAATCCAATTAAACGAAAAAATTGAAGATTCATAGTGTAATACTTATTGTCGATATAATCTTCCTCCTCCGGAAGCATGTTGCCGACTGTTGAGGTCGTCTAACGTCTATTGCCTTCCACCCCACGCAAGCGTATCATCATTTACTATTCTAATCATCCCTTTTCAAGTGAACACTTAATAATTCAATTCGATTCAACGCCGTGAAATTTTCTTGAAATAAAAAGTAGCATATCCCCGTAAAGTGATTTCGCAGTTCATATAGCTTTCTTTTTTAGCCGATCGATACTATACAATTTGACATATGTTTTTCTTCTTAGCAATTATGTCATTTACTTACCCCTTCCTTGCATTACAAAGTACACTAACCCTTCTCCCGCAGGAGCATGCGCGTTGCGAACCCACCCCTTCGGACTGCCTCATTCTCTCGCAGTTCACTTCTGTCCTTCGACCTTGACAGACCTATAGCTTTCTTCATCGAAGTAAAGCTTTAGTACTTAACACGTTAACGGCATAGTTAACTACAATTTGCATGTTAACAAGTGGATAAGAAATACTTGTTAAGTGTTAATATCTATCTAAATTAGCCTTCGTTTGTTCATAAATACTAATTTATAGGGTGAGTCATTTGTACCAGATTAATATTATTTTCTGTTAAATTGATAATGTATTCAGTACAATAATTGATATTATTTCAATTTTGAGAATTTTTTAAAAGCAATTGATATTAACATATATAATCAGTTTGTTATTTCATATTTTTGTAGAATAACAGTAATGTTTATTCTTCATATTCGGAAATTATATCTTTACTTATTATTATTATTATTATTATTATTATTATTATTATTATTATTATTATTATTATTATTATTATTATTATTATTATTATTATTATTTTTTTATTATTATTATTATTATTATTATTATTATTATTAATAGGAATTAGAAAAAGATGTTCGATGCAAATATTGGATTACAAATTTATCATCAGATATTTTTTATTTTCAACTGTAATTATATACATATATACATATATATATATATATATATATATATATATATATATACATAAATATTTTGCATTTTAACAAGTAGTAATATAAAAGAAATAATTGTTCAATATCTATACACGTCTGAACAATTTTTCGTATCGTTCGTACAAACTAATCTGCTGCGTGAATTATTTGAAATTTTAAAGTGTTATTTATAAATCTAATGAAACATAAGCTGTTTGAAGGAATTAACTGATCAACATAATAAACATGAAATTATATTATAATTGACATTTTTATACGTGATATTACAAAATAGTAATTATAAATATTTCAAGGGAATATTTAATTATCCAAAAATGAATGTTATCGTACGGGAATTAAATAAAATTTATTTAATCAAAGAAGTATTCAGTAGACATTAATGAGTACAATATATGCAAAGGTTGCATTTATTTGTATAAGTAATAATTGATAAAAAAAAAAAAAGGTAGCAGAAAGAAGAAATAACAATTAAATGGTGAATCAATAACATTAAACATAACCGCACATGATCATATTATATTCTACATTATCTAAATTATTGCAAGGTATACAATACCATAGCAAAAGAGAATGACTTACTCATGAACTAGTAAAAAAGATTACGATTAGTATATTGCATATTATTGTTATATCGCGTTTATATATAATAAGGTAATATTTTACCGTTGCAAAAAGTTCATTGGATACAACAATAGCACCCATCAGCGATAAATTGCATGGCCTCATGCTTCTCATTATCAAAACGAGTAACAAATTTTGCGTCTTCAAAGATAACGAATAGAATGGAATTTGACAGCTGGAAGAAATTAATATCGCTCATATAATACTTGTTCATATATTCGATAAATAGAAAATAACTTCTAATTAGATGTTAATTTCATGCGATTTCGACTAATATGAAAAAGCTCAAATTTTTTCAGCTTTAGTTTTTATTTTGTAATACTTATTTAATTACATATATATATGTATATATCCAATATGAGGTGGAAACCGCATGAAATTAATTGGATCATCATTGGCCACATAGAAACACGTACAATACTGTAAATACTTTGACGTTATGATTTATTAAATTTTGTGCCAGATAAAAGTAAGCATATATTATAAAAAGCGATCCAAAAATATAAAAGAGCTTTGTTAATCCTTCGGTCATATTAAGAGTGAAAGATATTATCTGAAAGAACTAAAAACAAATTTCATGGCTTTTCTCGATAAGATTTGTTTAATTCCAAAATTCAATTTTTTATATATATATATATATATTTAATAATATAATTATATATAATACTTACGTAAAAATAATCTAACAGAACACATATAAATGCAAAGAATTCTTCGAGCAAATGAATTGTTTCGTAAAATGATTTCAATAAATTAATAAATCTTGAATCATATTAAAAAGAAAAATAATAGAATATTAGTATTTGTCAAGTTGTAAACTCTATAAATAATAAACATGTACGTCTCATAAAATAAGGTACAAACTCGATCGCGTTATTATAGAATTTTATGATATGGATTATCTTCTCTCTTTCTTCGATTAATTCACTTTTATTACTCGAATAATAGAAATTTTGTTGATTCTTTACAAATCTTTCAATTACTCTCCATCTAAAATAAATAAATAATAATCTCCAAAAAACAGTAATACTGAAAATAATTTTTCTTGTACAATATGAGTATATCGTTGCAATTGATTTACTTACTGGACGATGTTAAGAAGTGCACAAGCATGCTGGATAATTACTATAAACATGGAATAGTTTGCAATTCCTATCGTGCACGCGATTAAAATAATTACATATTCGATTGTAAGCCCGATGTAGTAAAGCATTCGGTTGTTCATGATAGAATCAACACGAATTGGTAATAATAATTCCGTTTCATTTATATCACCAGAAACATACCGATACACACTTAACAATGATGGAAATATCAAAAATACAATATAAAGATAAAAAGAGACTGTATGGGAAAAAACAAAAATGAAAATTAATCAATTAATTTTTATAACTCATTTTGATTCTCCGCGTATAGTCTATTCACTTACTTGCAATTGTTAATGTACAAAGTCTGCTAATTTCAGCATATGTTTTCAGTATCACTAGTTCTGGTTTGTTTGCCAGGTCATTCCAATCGGACTTGATACGATCAAGAATTTTTTTCATCTGAAATTTTTACGGAGTTACGTTAAATTAAATATTATAACGACAAGAACATATGTCATTTACAGTAAAAGAAAAAAAAATAAGAGGAAAAATTTGTTTTCATGTATTACGGACAACTCTATCATTCAACAATAGATTGCAATAACAACATGCGTAGCATAATATAGGCATGGTCGTTTCTAGTAATTTGGCGATCAATATTAATTTTTTTTCAGAGATGAAGAGAGAATGAATCTAAAAGAAGAAACGAAAAATAATATTTATACTTATATAATTATATGTCAAAATATTGAATCCATTCTCTGAATTATTCAATATATTCAAAAATTGCAAGAATGAAATGTACATATATTAATTCAACTATGATTACCTGTTCGAATATTCCAAAACCTAGCATGACATTAATAAAACAAATACGAATTATGTTCTTAGATGACGTCTTTTGGCATAATCCAATTAAACGAAAAAATTGAAGATTCATCGTGTAATACTCATTGTCGATATAATCTTCCTCCTCCGGAAGCATGTTGCCGACTGTTGAGGTCGTCTAACGTCTATTGTCTTCCACCCCACGCAAGCGTATCATCATTTACTATTCTAATCATCCCTTTTCAAGAGAACACTTAATAATACAATTCGATTCAACGCCGAGAAATTTTCTTGAAATAAAAAAAACATATTCCCGTAAAATGATTTCGCAGTTCATATAGCTTTCCTTTTTAGTCGATCGATACTATGCAATTTGACATATGTTTTTCTTCCTAGCAATTATGTCATTTACTTACCCCTTCTTTGCATTACAAAGTACACTAACCCTTCTCCTGCAGGAGCATGCGCGTTGCAAATCCACCCCTTCCGACCGCCTCATTCGCACGCAGTTCACTTCTGTCCTTCGACCTTGACAGTCCTATGACTTTCTTTATCGATGTAAAGCTTTAGTACTTAACACGTTAACGCCATAGTGCTATCATTTGCATGTTAATAAGTGGATAAGAAATATTTGTTAAGTGTTAATATCTATCTAAATTAGTCTTCGTTTGTTCATAAATACTAATTTATAGGGTGAGAACATTTGTACCAGATTAATTTTATTTTCTGTTAAATTGATAATGTATTCAGGACCATAATTCATATTATTTCAATTTTGAGAATTTTTTAAAAATAATTGATATTAACACATATAATCAGTTTGTTATTTCACATGTTTGTAGAATAACAATAATGTTTATTCTTCATATTCGGAAAATATATCTTTACTTATTATTATTATTATTATTATTATTATTATCATTATTATTATTATTATTAATATTATTATTATTAACAGGAATTAGAAAAAGATGTTCGATGAAAATGTTGGATTACAAATTTATCATCAGATATTTTTTCTTTTCAACTGTAATTATATACATATATACATATATATATATATATATATATATATATATATATATATATATATATAAAATATTTTGCATTTTAACAAGTAGTAATATAAAAGAAATAATCGTTCAATATCTATACACGTCTGAACAATTTTTCGTATCGTTCGTACAAACTAATCTACCGCGTGAATTATTTGAAATTTTAAAGTGTTATTTATAAATCTAATGAAACATAAGCTGTTTGAAGGGATTAACTGATCAACATAATAAACATGAAATTATATTATAATTGACATTTTTATACGTGATATTACAAAATAGTAATTATAAATATTTCAAGGGAATATTTAATTATCCAAAAATGAATGTTATCGTACGGGAATTAAATAAAATTTATTTAACCAAAGAGGTATTAAGCAGACGTTAATGAGTACAATATTTCTGCACAAAACAATCAAAACTTGCGTTTATTTGTACAAGTAATAATTCATAAGAAGAAAAAAGAATTTTGCTGATAAAACAAATGACAATTAAATGGTGGATCAATGACATTAAACATAACAAACGATCATATTATATTCTTCATTATCTAAATTATTGCAAGCTATACAATACCATAGCAAAGGAGAATGACTTACTCATGAACTAGTAAAAAAGATTACGATTAGTATATTGCGTTTTACTGTTATATAGCGGTTATATATAATAAGAAAATATTTTACCGTTGCAAAAAGATCATTGGATACAGCAATAGCACCCATCAGCGATAAATTGCATGGCCTCATGCTTCTCATTATCAAAACGAGTAACAAATTTTGCGTCTTCAAAGATAACGAATAAAATGGAATTTGACAGCTGGAAAAATTAATATCCTTCATATAACACAGATTTACATATTTGGTTAATAGGAAATAGTTTCTGATTAGTTTTTAAGTTCGTGCGATTTCAACAAAAATGAAAAAGCTCTAATTTGTTCAGCTTTAGTTTTTATTCTGTAATATTTATTTAATTATATATATATATATATATATATATATATATATATATTCAATATGAAGTGGAAACCGCATGAAATTATTAAATCACCTTTGGCCAATAGAAATACATACAATATTGTAAATACGTTGACGTTGTGATTTATTAAATTTTGTGCCAGATAAAAGTAAGCATACATTATAAGAAGAGTTCCAACAATAAAAAAGAATTTTGTTAATCCTTCGGTCAAATTAAAAGTTAAAGAAATTATCTGAAACAACTAAAAACAATTTTCACGACTTTTCTCGATAAGAGTTGTATATTTCAAAATTAAAAATTATTTTTTTGTACATATGTATAATTAGATATAATACTTACGTAAAAATAATCTACCAAAATAATTATAAATCCAAAGAATTCTTCGAGCAAATGAATTGCTTCGTAAAACGATTTGAATAAATCAATAAATCTTGAATGATATTAAAAAGAGAAATAATATAATATTAGTATTTGGCAAGTTGTAAACTCTATAAATAATAAACACGTACGTCTCATAAAATAAGATACAAACTCGATCGCCTTATTATAGAATTTTATAATATGGATTATCTCTTCTCTTCCTTCGATTAATTCACTTTTATTACTCGAATAATTGAAATTTTGTTGATTGTTTACAAATCTTTCAATTGTTCTCCATCTAAAATAAATAAATAATAAACTCCAAAAAACAGTAATAGTGAAAATTATTTTTCTCGTACAATATGCGTATATCGTAGCAATTTATTTGCTTACCGGACGATAGTGAGAAGTGCACAAGCATGCTGGATAACTACTATAAACATGGAATAGTTAGCAATCCCTACATTCCCCACGTTTAATATTATTATATATTCGATTATAAGCCAGATGTAGTAAAGCATCCGGTTGTTCATGATAGAGTCAACACGAACTGGTAATATTAATTCCGTTTCATTTATAGAACCACTGACATAACGACACACACTTAACAATGATGGAAATATCAAAAATACAATATAAAGATAAAAGGAGACTGTATGGGAAAAAGCAAAAATGATAATCAATAAATTTTTATAAACTATTTTGTTACTCACCAAATGGTCTATTCACTTACTTGCGATTGTCAATGTACAAAGTCTACTAATTTCAGCATATTTCTTCAGTATCACTAGTTCTGGTTTGTTTGCTAGGTCATCCCAATCAGACTTGATACGAAAAAGAATTTTTTTCATCTGAAATTTTTACAGAGTTATGTTAAATTAATTATTATAACGATAGGAACATATGTAATTTAGAGTAAAAGAAAAAAAAAATAAGAGGAAAAATTTGTTCTCATGTAGAACGGACAACTCTATCATTCAACAGTAGATTGCAATAACAAGATATGTAGCATAATATAGGCATGGTCGTTTCTAGTAATTTGGCGATCAATATTAATTTTTTTTCAGAGATGAAGAGAAAATTCATCTAAAAGAAGAAATGAAAAGTAACATTTTAACTTATATAATTATATATCAAAGTATTGAATCCATTCTCTTAATTATTCATTATATTCAAAAATGTGCATGAATGAATTGTACATATATAAATTTAACTATGATTACCTGTTCGAATAATGCAAAAGCTAATATGAAATTAATAAAACAAATGTGAATTATGTTCTTAGATGACGTCTTTTGGCATAATCCAATTAAACGAAAAAATTGAAGATTTATCTTGTAATATTCATTGTCGAAGTAATCTTCCTCCTTCGAAATCATATTGCCGTCTGTTGCTGCTTTCCTACATAGATTGTCTTCAACCCCACGCAGGCGTACTTTTATTAATTATTCTAATCATCCCTTTTCCAGTATTCACTTAATAATTCAATTCGATTCAAAGCCAAGAAATTTGCTTGAAATAAAAAATAGCATATTCCCGTAAAGTGATTTCGCAGTTCATATAGCATTCTTTTTTAGCCAATCGATATTATACAATTTTTGACATATGTTTTTCTCCCTAACAATTATGTCATTTACTTACCCCTTCTTTGCATTACAAAGTACACTAACCCTTCTCCTGCAGGAGCATGCGCGTTGCAAATCCACCCCTTCGGACCGCCTCATTCGTACGCAGTTCCCTTCTGTCCGTCGACCTTGACAGACCTATAGCTTTCTTAATCGAAGTAAAGCTTAAGTACTTAACACGTTAACGCCATAGTGCTATCATTTGCATATTAACAAATGGATATGAAATATTTGTTAAGTGTTAATATCTATCTAAATTAGTCATCGTTTGTTCATAAATATGAATGTACAGGGTGACTCACTTATACCATACCAGCATTACTTTTTATTTTATCGAATATATTCTCAAGAAAATAATTTTTTATAATTTCAGTTACATTATTCCAGAGTAGATGTATCATAAGTGATCAGAAGTTTTTTGTTCTCAAGAATTTTTCATATCTTATTTTAAAAGGACACGTGTAATTTCAATTATTACCTGTCCATTATTATTTTTTTTTTTTTTTAATATTTACCAGCATCCTTCTCTTTTTATCCAAAGACCATTAAAACACCTGCATCTCTTCGCTGTTTTAATTCACTCTGTTAACACCCTCATTCACTTTATTTATGGGAATTGTAAATAATTTTATTCATTTTATTTCAAGGTCATGCGCATCACGGACACAACCCTATTCATCGTCTCTTTCTACCTAAGTTTACTCTCGTCTCTCGAATGTCAAGGATGTGGCATGGTATCTAGACGAATTTGAATCCATGTAAAGTAAGTACTTTCTTTTAATGTTAATAACTTTCTCAAAACTATTTATTCCATTTTCTATCATATAAAAAAGACAAGTGTTAATTTTCATTAATTTCATGTTTAACAAATATTCGTGCAATAATTACATTATTTCAAGTGGCATAGATATGTACCCCAGTATGATAATTTGAAAGAATTTTTTCTTTTTCGAAAACATTTGTTCTCTTTTATATTCTTTTCATTTCTTTTTATTTATTTATTTTTTTTTTTAACGAGGCTTCAAGAACATCGATACCCTTTTTCGTTTTCTTCCTTTTTTTTTTCAAAAAAGATTTCCTGACATTTTTTCTCGTGTTTTATTCCGTATAATTACATATTAAAAATAAAAATTATAACATCGTTTTTTTTCTATGTAATTAACACATTCCTTAGTTCGTTATAAAATTAAATGGAAAATAAATTTTTTAAAAAGCAACCTTTACGGTGTAATCACGAAAAATGATTGAAAAATTTGAAAAAATTATCTCGATGAAAATATTGGATTACAAATTTATCATCAGATATATTTTTTTTTCAACTGTAACTATATACATATACATATATATAAAATATTTTCATTTTAACAAATAGTGATAAAAAAAAAAATCGTTTAATATAAGTACACGTCTGTACAATTTTTCGTATCGTTCGAACTAATCTACTGGGTGAATCATTTGAAATTTTAAAATGTTTTTTATTAATCATATGAAACATAAGTTGTTTGAAGAGTTTAAGTGACCAACAAAATAAACAGGAAATTACATTATAATTATCATATTAATAATTATCATACGTGATATTACAAAATAGTAATTATAAATATTTCAAGGGAATATTTAATTATCCAAAAATGAATGTTATCGTACGAGAATTAAATAAAATTTATTTAATCAAAGAGGTATTAACCAGACATTAATGAGTACAATATCTCTATGCAAAGCTTGCATTTATTTGTATAAGTAATAATTGATAAAATGAAAAAAAATATAGCAGAAAAAAGAAATGACAATTAAATGGTGAATCAATGACATTAAACATAACCGCACATGATCATATTATATTCTTCATTATTTAAATTATTGCAAGGTATACAATACCATAGCAAAAGAGAATGACTTACTCATGAACTAGAAAAAAGATTACGATTAGTATATTGCATATTATTGTTATATAGTGGTTATATATAATAAGAAAATATTTTACCGTTGCAAAAAAGTCATTGGATACAACAATAGCACCCTTCACCGATAAATTGCATGGCCTCATGCTTCTCATTATCAAAACGAGTAACAAATTTTGCGTCTTCAAAGATAACGAATAAAATGGAATTTGACAGCTGGAAGAAATTAATATCGCTCATATAACACTTGTTTATATATTCGATAAATAGAAAATAATTTCTAATTAGATGTTAAGTTCTTGCGATTTCGACAAATATGATAAAGCTCAAATTTTTTTGAGCTTACATTTATATTCTGTAACATTTTTCTAATTATATATACATATATATATATATATATATATATATATATATATATATATATATATTCAATATGAGGTGGAAACCGCATGAAATTAATTGGATCATCATTGGCCAATAGAAAGACATACAATATTGTAAATACGTTGACGTTGTGGTTTATTAAATTTTGCGCCAGATAAAAGTAAGCATATATCAGAGAAAGAGATCCAAAAATATATAAGAACTTTGTCAATCCTTCGGTCATATTAAGAGTTAAAGAAATTATCTGAAATAACTAAAAACAAATTTCACGGCTTTTCTCGATAAGAGTTGTAAATTTCAAAATTAAAAATTTTCTTTTGTAGACAGATATAATATTTACGTAAAAATAATCTACCAAAATAAATATAAATCCATAGAATTCTTCGAGCAAATGAACTGGTTCGTAAAACGATTTCAATAAATCAATAAATCTTGAATGATATTAAAAAGAGAAATAATATAATATTAGTATTTAGCATGTTCCAAACTCTACAAATAATGAACACGTCCGACTCATAAAATAAGATACAAACTCAATCGCGTTATTATAGAATTTTATGATATGGATCATCCGTTCTCTTTCATCGATTTTTATAGTTTTATTATTCAGATAGTTAAAACTTTGTTGATTGTTTACAAATCTTTCAATTGTCCTCCATCTAGAATAAATAAAAAAATTATCTCCAAAGAACAGTAATAGTGAAAATAATTTTTCTCGTGCAGTATGCGTATATCGTAGCAATTGATTTGCTTACTGGACGATGGTAAGAAGTGCACAAGCATGCTGGATAACTACTATAAACATGGAATAATTAGCAATCCCTACATTGCCCGCGTTTAATATTATTACATATTCGATTATAAGCCAGATGTAGTAAAGCATTCGGTTGTTCATGATAGAGTCAACACGAACTGGTAATATTAATTCCGTTTCATTTATAGAACCACTGACATAACGAAAGACACTTAACAATGATGGAAATATGAAAAATATAATATAAAGATAAAAGGAGACTGTAAGGGAAAAGAACATTATTGAAAATTAATTAATAAATTTTTATAAATCATTTTTTTACTCTGCATATGGTGTATTCACTTACTTGCCATTGCTATTGTACAAAGTCTACTAATTTCAGCATATTTCTTCAGTATCACTAGTTCTGGTTTGTCTGCTAGGTCATCCCAATCGGACTTGATACGAAAAAGAATTTTTTTCATCTGAAATTATTACATAGTTATGTTAAATTAATGTCATTTAGAGTAATTTAGAGTAAAAAAAAAAAAAATAAGAGAAAAAATTTGTTTTCATGTAGAACGGACAACTCTATCATTCAACAATAGATTGCAATAACAAGATCCGTAGCTTAATATAGGGATGGTCGTTTCTAGTAATTTGGCGATCAATATTAATTTTTTTTCAGAGAAGAAGAGAAAATTCATCTAAAAGAAGAAATGAAAAGTAACATTTTAACTTATATAATTATATGTCAAAGTATTGAATCCATTCTCTTAATTACTCATTATATTCAAAAATGTGCATGAATGAATTGTACATAAATAAATTTAACTATGATTACCTGTTCGAATAATGCAAAAGCTAATATGAAATTAATAAAACAAATGTGAATTATGTTCTTAAATGACGTCTTTTGGCGTAATCCAATTAAACGAAAAAATTGAAGATTTATCGTGTAATACTCATTGTCGAAGTAATCTTCCTCCTTCGAAAACATATTGCCGTTTGTTGCTGCTTTCCTACATAGATTGTCTTCAACCCCACGCAGGCGTACCTTTATTAATTATTCTAATCATCCCTTTTCCAGTATTCACTTAATAATTCAATTCGATTCAAAGCCAAGAAATTTGCTTGAAATAAAAAAAAGCATATTCCCGTAAATTGATTTCGCAGTTCATATAGCTTTCTTTTTTAGCCGATCGATACTATACAATTTTTGACATATGTTTTTCTCCCTAACAATTATGTCATTTACTTACCCCTTCTTTGCATTACAAAGTACACTAACCCTTCTCCTGCAGGAGCATGCGCGTTGCAAATCCACCCCTTCGGACCGCCTCATTCGTACGCAGTTCCCTTCTGTCCGTCGACCTTGACAGACCTATAGCTTTCTTAATCGAAGTAAAGCTTAAGTACTTAACACGTTAACGACATAGTTAGCTACCATTTGCATGTTAACAAGTGGATAAGAAATATTTGTTAAGTGTTATTATCTATCTAAATTAGTTGTCGTTTGTTCAAAAATACGAATGTACAGGGTGAGTCATTTGTACCAGATTAATATTATTTTCTGTTAAATCGATAATATATTCAGGAGAATAATTCGTATAATTCAATTTTGAGAATTTTTTTGAAAACAGAATTGATATAAATATAAATAATCATATTTTTATTTTATATACTTTTTATAATGACAGTAATATTCAATCTACATATTCGGAAAGTATTTTCTTATTTATTATTATTATTATTATTATTATTATTATTATTGTTATTATTATTATTATTATTATTATTATTATTAATATAATTGTTATTATTATGCTCCGTTTGAATTCTTCTATTATTTACTACAATCATTTTTCTTTCAGTTTAGAATTAATCATTTGAAAATATTTTCTTCATTTAGAGGTCTCAGATATCCGTTATTCTTCAAGGAAAAAAAAAAAGAAAGAACAGAAAAGAAATTAATTTATTAAACTAATTAGTTCGAAATACTAATATATCGAACATGCGAAGTATTTTTTCTACAATTAAAGATTTAGTACTTATCTTTACGAGTTAGTACTTAAGAAAAACATTAGCGTTATATTTTCATCATTTGAACTTTAATAATTGTGATAATTAATGATCGTTCAATGATGAAAAATATCCGTTCGAACGTTCGTGCAAACAAATGTACATGGTGAGACACTTACACCATACCAGCATTACTTTTCATTTTATCGAATATATTCTCAAGAAAATAATTTTTATAATTTCAATTACATTATTCCAGAGTAGATGTATCATAAGTGATCAGAAATTTTTTGTTCTCAAGAATTTTTCATATCTTATTTTAAAAGGACACGTGTAATTTCAATTATTACCTGTCCATTATTATTTTTTTTTTTTTTTTTAATATTTACCAGCATCCTTCCCTTTTTATCCAAAGACCATTAAAACACCTGCATCTCTTCGCTGTTTTAATTCACTCTGTTAACACCCTCATTCACTTTATTTATGGGAATTGTAAATAATTTTATTCATTTTATTTCAAGGTCATGCGCATCACGGACACAACCCTATTCATCGTCTCTTTCTACCTAAGTTTACTCTCGTCTCTCGAATGTCAAGGACGTGGCATGGTATCTAGACGAATTTGAATCCATGTAAAGTAAGTACTTTCTTTTAATGTTAATAATTTTCTCAAAACTATTTATTCCATTTTCTATCATATAAAAAAGACAAGTGTTAATTTTTATTAATTTCATGTTTAACAAATATTCGTAACAATGATTTTATTATTATCAAGTAGGATGTAATAGTTCGAGAGGATTTTTTTTTCTCTTCAACAACATTTCTTTTCATTTTTTGAAGAGATTTCAAGAACACCGATAATTTTCCTTTTTTGTTTTCCTTTTTTTTCTTTTTTACGACATCTCAAGATATTTTTTTTTTTGGTTTTCTTTTGTTTTATTCCAAATAGAATTATAAGATCATTTTTTTTCTCTCTTATTTTATACAATTAACACATTCTTTCTCTGTTTATGAGACATCATGAAAAGGATATTAAAAAAAAAAAAAGAAACGAAACGATCGTTACATTGTAAGCTGAAAAAATTATTGAAGCATTTGAAATAAAAACATCAAAAAAGTTTAAAAAAAGAAAAAAAAGAAGAAACTGAAAGAAAAAAGTCATATTATCTTTTTTTTCCCCTTTTTGGATAGCAGTTTGAAAAAGATGTTCGATAAAAATATTGAATAACAAATTTATCATTAACTATATTTTTTTTTCCACTGCATAAATATATATATATATATATATATATATATATATATAAAATAATTTACATTTTATCAACCAAGAATAAAAAAGAAATAATCATTTAATGCGAATATACGTTTGTACAATATTTTGTATCGTTTGGACAAAATGATCTATCGGGTGAGTCATTTAAAAACGTAAAGGGTTATTTTATTAATCTTATGAAATATAAATTGTTTGATGAACGTAACTGAACAAAAAAAAAAAAGAGTGAACAGGAAATTATGTTACATTACAAAAACGTAAAGGATTATTTATTAATCTTATGAAATATAAATTGTTTGATAAACGTGACTGAACAAAAAAAAAAAAAAAAAAAAAAAAAAAAACGAACAAGAAATTATATTACATTACAAAAATAGTAATATCACGTATAAATATTTCATGCGAATATTTCATTATACTAAAATAAATATTATCGTAAAAGAATATACGTAAAAATTTATTAAATCTAAGAGATATCAAATAGAAATTAAGAAATATAGAATAAATAATTCTGCAAAAAAGAATAATTTCGCACAAAGCATTCAAAAATTGCGTTTATTGGTATAAGTAATAATTGTTAAAAAGAAAAAGAAAAAAAAAAAAAAAAAAAAAAAAAAATAAAGAGAACAAATAATAATTCAATTTAATGATATGCATAAACACAAATGATCATATTATATTTTTCATTATCAAAATCATTGCAAGCTATACAATACCATAGCGATAGAAAATGCCTTACGCATGATCTAATAAAAATGATTACGATTAGTATATTTCAATTAATTGTTATATCGCGTTATATATATAATAAGAAAATATTTTACCGTTGCAAAAAGATCATGGGATACAACAATAGTACCCCTCAGCGATAAATTGCATGGCCTCATGCTTCTCATTATCAAAACGAGTAACAAATTTTGCGTCTTCAAAGATAACGAATAAAATGGAATTTGACAGCTGTAAAAAATTAATATCACTCATATAACACTTTTTAATATATTCGTTTAATAGAAAATAATTTCTGATTAATTTCTTAAGTTCGTGCGATTTATGACAATTATGACGAAGCTGAAATTTTTCGAACTTTCATTTGTATTCCGTAATATTTATTTAATTATATATACATATATATATATATTCAATATGCAGTGAAAATCGCATGAAATTAATTGATCACTTTTGACGATATAAAAATACCTACAATATTGTAAATACGTTGGCGTTGTGGTTTATTAATTTTTGTGCAAGGTAACAGTAAACATATAATACGAAAAGAGATCCAATAACATATAATAACTTTGTTAAACCTTCGGTTTTATTAAAACTTAGAGAAAGTAACTGGAATAACTAAAAACAAATATCTCGTCTTTTCTCGATAAAAGGTGTATATGATTTAAAATTAATTCTCTCTTTTTTTTTTTCTTTTTTTTTTTTTTTTTAATTATTTATACATGAATATATAATAATCATAATATGACAATACTTACGTAAAAATAATCAACCAAAAAAAATATAAATCCCAATAATTCTTCGAGCAGATGAATTGTTTCGTAAAATAATTTCAATAAATCGATAAATCTTGAATGACATCATAAAGAGAAATATTATTATATTAATATTTGACAAGTTGTAAATTTTAAAAATTAATAAATACATGAGTCTCATTAGATAAAATACAAACTCGATTGTTTTATTATAAAATTCTATGATATCGGTTATCCATTGTCTCTCCTCGATTAATTTACGACTAGTAATCGTATAATCAAAATTTTGTCGATTGTCTAGAAATCTTTCAATTGCTTTCCATCTAAAATAAAAAAATAAAAAAAAAAAAAAAAAAAAAATAATAATGAGATGCATGATGACAAAAAAAAAAAAAAGAAAAAAGAAATCTCAATAGGGAAAAATATTCTTTTCTCTTGCTTGATTGTCTTATAATCATGATTGATTTACTCACTGAACGATTGTAAGAAGTGCACATGCATGCTGTACAATTGCTATAAACATGGTATAGTTAGCAATTCCTACCGTGGCAGCGATTATTATAATTATGTATTCAATTGTAAGGGCAAAGAAATAAAGCATAAGATTTTTCATGAAATATTCAACAGGAATTGGTAATATTAATTCCGTATCATTTATAAAACCAAAAACGTATTGAATAACGCTTAACAATGATGGAAATATGAAAAATACAATATAAAAATAAAAGGATACTGTAAGGGAAAATGAGTAAATGAAAATTAATTAATAAACTATTATAATACATTCTTTTACTTTGCATACGATGTATTCAACTTACGTGCGATTACTATTGTACAAAGTCGACTAATTTCAGCGTATTTCTTAAGTATCATTAATTCTGGTTTATTTGCGAGATTATCCCAATCGAATTTGATCCGATAAAGAATTTTCTTCATCTGAAATTATTACATAGTTAAATTAATTATTATAACGTTGGAAACATACATGTCGTTTAGGTTACAAAGAAGAAAAAAAGAAAAAGAGAAAAAAGGAAAAAAAAAAAAAATAAGACGAAAAAATTTGTTTTCACATAGAAACGAACAATTCTATAATTCAGCAATAAATTGCAATAGCAAAATCCGAAGCATAAGGTTGGCAATGATGTTTCCAATAATTTGGCGGTAGACATTAATTTTCTTTCGGACATGAAGAGAAAATAAATCTAAAGGAAGCAATGAAGAAATATTATTTATATATAATAAATAATATCTCATAATATTTAATATATTCTCTGTACAATTTATTATATTCAAGAATAATATAAAAAAAAGAAAAAAATTTATAGAAATTAATTAAATGACAAATACCTGTTCGAATGATCCAAATAACAGCATGAAATTAATGAAACAAATATAAATTACATTCTTAGATGACGTCTGACGTTGCAAAAATCCAATTAAACGAAAAAATCGTCGATTGTAAGTATAATACTCGTTGTCAATATAATCATCCTCCTTCGAAAGCATATTGCCGACTATTGAGATCCTTCAACATTGATTATCTTCAACCCCACTCAGATCTACCTTTATTAATTATTCTAATCGTCCCAGTTCAAGTGAATACTAAATAATTCAATTCGATTAGACGATCAGAAATTTTCTTCAAATACAAAATAAAAAATTTCCCGTAGAATATTTTCAAAGTTATAGCCGGCTTACCTGTTCCCATTCAATATCATCCAATTTAACACATGTATCTCTTCTCAGCAATTATTTCATTTTCTTATCTCCTTCTTTGCATACGACAATACTTCAACCCCTTCTTCCGCAAGAGCATGCGCATTGCGAACCCGCCCTTTCGGACCGCCTCCTTCTGCCGCATTATATTTTTGTCCCTCGAACAGAACGGATGCAACCACCGTTTCAACAAAAAAGAATCTGATTGAATATTTTCTATTTTTATTCACTCACGTTCGAAATTTTTCTTCGCGAAAGTTTCAAAAATTTTGAATCTGATGGATCACATTGATCGGTAAGCATTCTGATGAATCTAATCATTTTTAACCAAATCTTTTACAATATCTTTATTGTTTTGTATCTAAGCTCAGTCATGGATTCGCTTAACATTTTTAAAAGAGATAAACAATTTAAAGATGCTCCAATTTTCTTTCGTTATAAATATACCTTTGAAATCTTGCATCAATCGTATATTGTTTCCTAATATTCTTCTTTAAATATTAGAACACTCAGAATCCTTGAATTAATATTATCATCCAATGAGACGCAAGTCCTTTATACTCGACACGTTTCGTGACAGATGAGCTGGATGGACACAATTAGTAAATTCCGAAAAATATGTCAAATAATTGCTCTTCTGTAAAATATAAAATCATTAATTAGCTATTAATGTCACTGATATAGTATGTCAAGGAACGATAAATTATCAAGCTTGTATTATGCTTTCGGTAAGAGCAGTAATTAATCAATTGCTATACAATTTGCAATCCATTGAATCAAATCATATTCAATGAATCGTCAATTTTTATTATCATATCAAAATTGTAAATACTTTATCGAACCTACTTATCACTATTTCAGTGACCTCAAAGGATATATAAAATATTTTTTTGGAGTCAGAATTATTCATTCTGCATGAATGACAATTGTTCTAAGTGCCTGGGTTATAAAACACCCCAACTATAGAATTAGAAATTATTTTGAGGTTTGTACAATTAAAATACTCTGCATATTGGATAACTGATGAGAAATATGTAACACGCACATTAGAACGGGTCTAACAAATTTCTAAGTATTTATTCGAAAAATCAGTGAGTCTCAATAACTCGAATTCTTCCAATTCCCATTAAACAACTAACTCAGATTAAAATCAATTCTTTGCACAAAGTTTCTAAACGAGCTAAGTAACGTGAATTATTTGTTCTAATGTACTGTTTTTTTGCCTGCTTCCTTGTATAATCTGTCAATCTGTCAAATCAACTTCTATGTCATTCTATGATCAACGATTCCTTGTCCAGTCGCATCATCATTGAATTAATGTTCCTCTCTGCAAATCCCTGGTAGAAATCACACAATCGAACTGAATGATGATTAGCTTCATTGACATACATCATACATGGAATCAAACAAAGCAACAATATCAAGTTTTAAAGATCATTTGAAAAAAAAATATATATTTCCACGGTATATACGCAAAAAATTTCACAAATATCCCATGGTATTAAGAATATTTATATGTTACTCGTAGGAGCTCGTGTAAATATTCAAACATATTCAGTCATTGAAAAATATATAGTCATTAAAAAATATACATTGAAGCCATTCTTCTGTGATTGACAAATGATAAAAGATATAAAATAAAGATGCAAAAATGTTATACGGTAATTAACAAATAGCATTTAATCATATAACAACAACAAATTACAAATAACTCTACTCTATTCGTATGATCGCAATACATTATCATCAACAATTTTATCATATCTGTCACTATTAAATTCATTGCAGATTATACAATACCATAGCGAAAGAAAAAGATTTAGCAATCATCTAGTAAGAATATTTTCGATTAGTATACGTTGTCTAGTTGATGTCTTAGCTATATAATTATAGAGAAAATATTTTACCGTTGCGAACAGTTCATTCGATATAAATACTGCGCCCAGCAGGGATATACCGCACAGTTTCATGCTATACATTGTTAAGAAGAGTAACAATTTTTGGTTTCTCAATGATAACGAATAAAACGGGAATTGGCAACTGTAAAAATTAATATCGCACATGTATAAAATATCTACACATTCTAGAAAATTAATCGGTCGGATTATTGATAATCATTTTTCATCGATCCTTAAGATCGTGCGGTCTCGACCAATAATGAAAAAAGTAAGATTTATCATTTTCGCCAAATGAAAAGTTAAAATTCGAGATTTTGTTCATTTTCGTGAAACCACACGAAATTATTGGACCAGTCATAACGTAATAGCAATACCTACAATATTAAAAATACATTAGCATTGTGATCCATTAAATTTTGAGCGACGTAAGTATAAACATATATTACAAATATAGAACCAACAACGTACAGGAGCTTTGCAATTCCTTCGATTCGGTTATGGGTAAAAGAAAATACCTCAAATAACTGAAAACAAATTTCTCGATAATTCACGTTACGGAGTATATTTTTGAAAATTAAATTTTTTTTAAATATCTACGTCCATTTATAGATTTTTCTACTTACGTAAATATAATCAACAAGGACAAATGTAAACGACAATAATGCTGCAATTATTTGAACAGATTCGTAAAAAGATTTTAATAAATCGACAAACCTTGATAGAAATCAAAAATGAAATTCCATATTATTAACATTTAATAAATTGTTAATTCTATGAATAATCAATGCAAAAATTTCTAAAATAGAATACAAACTCGATCGCCCTTTTATAGAATTTTATGAGATCGACTAACCATTCGTTTTCCTCGGTTAATTCACTTTCAATATTAATATAATCAGAATTATGTGGAAGTTTTTCGTATTTATGTTTAACCCTCCATCTAAAATCAATACGTAATAAACCGTAAAAATACGTAATAGTGAAAAGAATTTTTCTCTTGCAGTATACTTATATGGCCATAATTGATTTACTTACTGGACAATGGAGAAAAGTGCACATGCATGTTGTACAATTGCTATAAACATGGAATAGTTAGCAATTCCTACCGTGCACGTTACTAAAATCATTATGTATTGGATTATAAGTCCGATATAATAAACCATTAGGTTCGTCAAGAAATAGTCAACACGAATTGGTAATATTAATTCCGTTTTACTTATATCACCAGAAACATACCGAAACACACTCAACAATGATGGAAATATCAAAAATACGATATAAATATAAAAGCAAACTGTAAGGGAAAAAGCACAAATGAAAATAAATTAATAAATTTCTAGAACACATTTATATTTTCCGTATATATAAAGTATTAACTCACCTGCGATTATTACTGTACAAATTCTGCTAATTTCAGCATATTTCTTCACTATCAATAGTTCTGGTTTGTCCGCTAGGTCATCCCAATCGGACTTGATACGATAAAGTATTTTCTTCATCTGAAATTATTACGTTGTTGTGTTAAATTAATTATTATAATGTTGGAAACATATATCGTTAAGAGTAAAAAAAAAAAAAAAAAAAAGATAAGAAAATAAGAGGAAAAATTTGTTTTCACGTAAAACGGACAACTCTATCATTCAACAATAGATTGCAATAGCAACAGCTGAAACATAGTGTAGGCAAAAACGTTTCCAGTAATTTAGCGATCGACATTAAATTTCTTTCTGACGTGAACAAAAGTTGTATCTAATAGAACAAATACAAAATATTGTTATAACTTAATACATAAATATGTCATATTATTGGATATATTCAGCCCATAGTTTACTATCTTCAAATGTTGTATAAATGAATGAAACATTAATCTATTCAACGATGCTTACCTGTCCAATTGATGCAAATGTTAGTACTAAATTAATGAAATAAATATAAATTATGTTCTTAGACGACGTCTGACCTTGCCACAATCCAATTAGACGAAAAAAATGACGATTCATAGTGTAATACTCGTTGTCAATATAATCTTCCTCCTTCGAAAGCATATTGCCGTCTGTTGCTGCTTTCCTACATCGATTGTCTTCAACCCCACGCAGACGTGGGGTTGTAATCTTTATTAATTATTCTAATAATTCCTCTTCAACGGAATACTTAATAACTCAAATCGTTATGACGATCAAAAATTTTTTTGAAATAAAAAATAGAAAATTACCATAAAATATTTTGAAAGTTCTTATGGCATTCTACCTTCAGTCGTTCAATACCAAAGAATTTAACACATGTATCTCTACCCAGCAATTATGTCAATTTTCATATCGCTTCTTTGCATTGTAAAGTACTCCAACCCTTCTACCGCACGAGCATGCGCGTTGCGAACCAACCCCTTCGGACCGCCTCATTCTGACGCAGTTTAGTTTCATCGCTCGAACACGACGGACGTCGTCCGCTTCAACAAAATTAAATTTGATTTAACACTTCGTATCATTTACAAATTGACAGATTGTTTCGATTATCATAGTTAACATTAATCGATCGTTCCTTCATAAGTGCGAGTGAATGTACGGGGTGAGTCAATTAAATAAGTCTAGTATATTAAATATATTCGATATTTCTGAATCAATAAAAAAAAAAGATTACGATCGAAGTTACATCATACTATGAAATATTAATCATACTTGAATTCTTACCTCCTACGTAAAAAAAAATGTTTATATCTTTATACACTCATGTTGGATAATTTTTCTCGTTGTAGTTTGAAATATTTTAAATATATATTTAAAATATTTTGGAAGGAAAATATATTTCCACGGTATATACGTACAAAATTTCACAAACATCCCATGGTATTAAGAATATTTATATATTACTCCTATGAGCTTGTGTAAATATTAAACAATATTCAGTCATTAAAAAATATTTGAAAAATAGATCGTCATTAAAAAATATACATTGAAATCATTCTCCTCAGATTGGCTAATGATAAAAGATAGTAAGTAGATATACTAAAATGTTATATGGTAATAAACAAATGGCATTTATTCATATAACAATAACAAATTACAAATTACTCTTCTGTATGATCGCAATACATTATGATCATCAATTATATCATATTTGTTACTATTATATTCATTGCAGATTATACAATACCATAGCGAAAGAAAATAACTTACTGATACCCTAGAAAGAAAGATTTCGATTAGTATATGGTATTTAGTTGATGTCATAGATATATAATAATTCAGAAAATATTTTACATTTGCGAATAATTCGTGGGATATAAACACTGCGCCAATAAGGGATATACCGCACAGTCTCATGCTATACATTGTCAAGAAGAGTAACAATTTTTGATTTCTCAATGATAACGAATAAAACGGAAATTGGCAACTGTAAAAATTAATATCGGTTATAATAATATATAAAATATCTACATATTCGGAAAAATTAATCACTTGGATTAATGATAATAATTTTTTATCGATCCTTAAGATCGTGCGGTCTCGACCAATAATGAAAAAAGGAAAATTTATCATTTCCGCCGAATGAAAAGTTAAAATTCGAGATATTGTTCAATTCGTGGTCCTTGTAGGTGCAGACGATGGACCGGAATCTGTCGGAAAAAAATTATATTTATTCTGTCACCTTTTCATAATATAATGTAACAAAGTCAACGAGTTATCTATTATACATATATTCAAGATGAAACTGAAACTACACGAAATTATTGGACCAATCATAACGTAATAGTAATACCTACAATATTAAAAATACGTTAGCATTGTGATCCATTAAATTTTGAGCGACGTAAGTATAAATGTATATTACAAACATGGAACAAACAATATACAAGAGCTTCTCAATTCCTTCGATTCGATTAACGCTAAAAGACAATAACTGAAATAGCTGAAAAGAAATTTCTCGATAATCCATGTTATGCAGTATATTTTCGAAAATTAAATTTCTTTGAAATATCTAAGTATATGAACATATTTTTCTACATACGTAAATATAATCAACAAGGGCAAATGTAAACGACAATAATGCTGCGATTATTTGAACGGATTCGTAAAAAGATTTTAATAAATCGACAAACCTTGATAGAAATCAAAAAAGAAAAACTGTATTAGAAAAATTTGATATATTGTTAATTTTATAAATAATGAATTCCTACGTTCGTAAAATGAAATACAAACTCGATCGCTCTTTTATAGAATTTTATGAGATCGACTATCCATCCGTTTTCGTCGGTTAATTCACTTTCAACATTTATATAATAAGAATTATGTGGAATTTTTTCGTATCTATGTTTAACCTTCCATCTAAAATGAATCCATAATAAACCGTAAAAATACTTAATAATGAAAAGATTCTTTTCTCTTGCAGTATACTTATATGGCCATAATTGATTTACTTACTGGACAATGGAGAAAAGTGCACATGCATGTTGTACAATTGCTATAAACATGGAATAGTTAGCAATTCCTACCGTGCACGTGACTATAATAATTACACACTGGATTATAAGTCCGATATAATAAAGCATTAGGTTTTTCAAGAAATAGTCAGCACGAATTGGTAATATTAATTCCGTTTCACTTATATCACCAGAAATATACCGAAATACACTTAACAATGATGGAAAAATCAAAAATACGATATAAATATAAAAGCAGACTATAAAGGAAAAAGCACAAATGAAAATAAATTAATAAATTTCTAGAACAGATTTATATTTTCCGTATATACAAAGTATTAACTCACCTGCGATTATTATTGTACAAATTCTGCTAATTTCAGCATATTTCTTCACTATCATTAGTTCTGGTTTGTCTGCTAGGTCATCCCAATCGGACTTGATACGGAAAAGAATTTTCTTCATCTGAAATTATTACGTAGTTATGTTAACTTAATTATTATAATGTTGGAAACATATGTCATTTAGAGTAAAAAGAAAAAAAAAAGAAAAGAAAATAAGAGGAAAAATTTGTTTTCAACGGACAACTCTATCATTCAACAATAGATTGCAATAGCAACAGCTGAAACATAGTATAGGCAAAAGCGTTTCCAGCAATTTGGTGATCGACATTAGATTTCTTTCTGACGTGAACAAAAGTTGTATCTAATAGAACAAATACAAAATATTGTTAATACTTAATACATAAACATGTCATATTATTGAATATATTCAGCACATAGTTTATTATCTTCAAATGTTTATGAATGAATATAACATTAATCAATTCAACAATGCTTACCTGCCAAATTGATGCAACTGCTAGTACTAAATTAATGAAATAAATATAAATTATGTTCTTAGACGACGTCTGACCTTGCCACAATCCAATTAGACGAAAAAAATGACGATTCATAGTGTAATACTCGTTGTCTATATAATCTTCCTCCTTCGAAAGCATATTGCCGTCTGTTGCTGCTTTCCTACATCGATTGTCTTCAACCCCACGCAGACGTATCTTTATTAATTATTCTAATAATTCCTCTTCAAGGGAATACTTAATAATTCTAATCGATACGACAATCAGAAATTTTTTTGAAATAAAAAATAGAAAATTACCATAAATATTTTGAAAGTTCTTATGGCATTCTTCCTTCAGTCGTTCAATACCAAACAATTTAACACATGTATCTCTACCCAGCAATTATGTCAATTTTCATATCGCTTCTTTGCATTGTAAAGTACTCCAACCCTTCTACCGCACGAGCATGCGCGTTGCGAACCAACCCCTTCGGACCGCCTCATTCTGACGCAGTTTAATTTCATCGCTCGAACTCGACGGACGTCGTCCGCTTCAACAAAATTAAATGTGATTTAACACTTCGTATAATTTACACATTGACAGATTGTTTCGAATATCATAGTTAACATTAATCGATCGTTCTTTCATAAGTGCGAGTGAATGTACGGGGTGAGTCAATTAAATAAATCTAGTATATTAAATATGTTCGATATTTCTGAATCAATGAAAAAAAAAGATTACGATCGAATTTACATCATACTATGAAATATTAATTATATTTTAATTGTTACTTCCTTCGTAAAAAAAACGTTTATATCTTTATACACTCATGTTCGATAATTTTTCTCGTTGTAGTTTGAAATATTTTAAATATATATTTAAAATATTTTGGAAGGAAAATATATTTCCACGGTATATACGTACAAAATTTCACAAACATCCCATGGTATTAAGAATATTTATATGTTACTCGTAGGAGATCGTGTAAATATTCAAACATATTCAGTCATTGAAAAATATATAGTCATTAAAAAATATACACTGAAGCCATTCTTCTGTGATTGACAAATGATAAAAGATATTAAATAAAGATGCAAAAATGTTATACGGTAATTAACAAATAGCATTTATTCATATAACAACAACAAATTACAAATAACTCTACTCTATTCGTATGATCGCAATACATTATCATCAACAATTTTATCATATCTGTTACTATTAAATTCATTGCAGATTATACAATACCATAGCGAAAGAAAAAGATTTAGCAATGACCTAGTAAGAATATTTTCGATTAGTATACGTTGTTTAGTTGATGTCTTAGCTATATAATTATAGAGAAAATATTTTACCGTTGCGAACAGTTCATGCGATATAAATACTGCGCCCATCAGGGATATACCGCACAGTTTCATGCTATACATTGTTAAGAAGAGTAACAATTTTTGGTTTCTCAATGATAACGAATAAAACGGGAATTGGCAACTGTAAAAATTAATATCGCACATGTATAAAATATCAACATATTCTAGAAAATTAATCGGTCGGATTATTGATAATAATTTTTTATCGATCCTTAAGATCGTGCGGTCTCGACCAATAATGAAAAAAGTAAGATTTATCATTTTCGCCAAATGAAAAGTTAAAATTCGAGATTTTGTTCATTTTCGTGAAACCACACGAAATTATTGGACCAGTCATAACGTAATAGCAATACCTACAATATTAAAAATACGTTAGCATTGTGATCCATTAAATTTTGAGCGACGTAAGTATAAACGTATATTACAAATATAGAACCAACAACGTACAGGAGCTTTGCAATTCCTTCGATTCGGTTATGGGTAAAAGAAAATACCTCAAATAACTGAAAACAAATTTCTCGATAATTCACGTTACGGAGTATGTTTTTGAAAATTAAATTTCTTTTAAATATCTACGTCCATTTATAGATTTTTCGACTTACGTAAATATAATCAACAAGGACAAATGTAAACGACAATAATGCTGCAATTATTTGAACAGATTCGTAAAAAGATTTTAATAAATCGACAAACCTTGATAGAAATCAAAAATGAAATTCCATATTATTAACATTTAATAAGTTGTTAATTCTATGAATAATCAATGCAAAAATTTCTAAAATAGAATACAAACTCGATCGCCCTTTTATAGAATTTTATGAGATGGACTATCCATCCGTTTTCTTCGGTTAATTCACTTTCAACATTAATATAATAAGAATTATGTGGAAGTTTTTCGTATTTATGTTTAACCCTCCATCTTATATGAATCCATAATAAACCGGAAAAATAAATAATAGTGAAAAGAATTTTTCTCTTGCAGTATAATTATATCGCCATGATTGAGTTACTTACTGGACAATGGAGAAAAGTGCACATGCATGTTGTACAATTGCTATAAACATGGAATAGTTAGCAATTCCTACCGTGCACGTGACTATAATAATTACATATTCGATTATAAGTCCGATATAATAAACCATTAGGTTCTTCAAGAAATAGTCAGCACGAATTGGTAATATTAATTCCGTTTCACTTATATCACCAGAAACATACCGAAACACACTCAACAATGATGGAAATATCAAAAATACGATATAAATATAAAAGCAGACTGTAAGGGAAAAAGCACAAATGAAAATAAATTAATAAATTTCTAGAACACATTTATATTTTCCGTATATACAAAGTATTAACTCACCTGCGATTATTATTGTACAAATTCTGCTAATTTCAGCATATTTCTTCACTATCATTAGTTCTGGTTTGTCTGCTAGGTCATCCCAATCGGACTTGATACGGAAAAGAATTTTCTTCATCTGAAATTATTACGTAGTTATGTTAACTTAATTATTATAATGTTGGAAACATATGTCATTTAGAGTAAAAAGAAAAAAAAAAAAAAAGAAAAGAAAATAAGAGGAAAAATTTGTTTTCAACGGACAACTCTATCATTCAACAATAGATTGCAATAGCAACAACTGAAACATAGTGTAGGCAAAAGCGTTTCCAGTAATTTGGCGATCGACATTAAATTTCTTTCTGACGTGAACAAACGTTGTATCTAATAGAACAAATACAAAATATTGTTATAACTTAATACATAAATATGTCATATTATTGGATATATTCAGTCAATAGTTTACTATCTTCAAATCTTGTATAAATGAATGAAACATTAATCTATTCAACGATGCTTACCTGTCCGATTGATGCAAATGTTAGTATTAAATTAATGAAATAAATATAAATTATGTTCTTAGACGACGTCTGACCTTGCCACAACCCAATTAGACGAAAGAAATGACGATTCATAGTGTAATACTCGTTGTCTATATAATCTTCCTCCTTCGAAAGCATATTGCCGTCTGTTGCTGCTTTCCTACATCGATTGTCTTCAACCCCACGCAGACGTATCTTTATTAATTATTCTAATAATTCCTCTTCAACGGAATACTTAATAATTCAAATCGATACGACAATCAGAAATTTTTTTGAAATAAAAAATAGAAAATTACCATAAAATGTTTTGAAAGTTCTTATGGCATTCTACCTTCAGTCGTTCAATACCAAACAATTTAACAAACGTATCTCTACCCAGCAATTATGTCAATTTTCATATCTCTTCTTTGCATTGTAAAGTACTCCAACCCTTCTACCGCACGAGCATGCGCGTTGCGAACCAACCCCTTCGGACCGCCTAATTCGCACGCAGTTTAGTTTCATCGCTCGAACACGACGGACGTCGTCCGCTTCAACAAAATTAAATTTGATTTAACACTTCGTATCATTTGCACATTGACAGATTGTTTCGAATATCATAGTTAACATTAATCGATCGTTCTTTCATAAGTGCGAGTGAATGTACGGGGTGAGTCAATTAAAAAAATCTAGCATATTAAATATGTTCGATATTTCTGAATCTATGAAAAAAAAAAGATTACGATCGAAGTTACATCATACTATGAAATATTAATTATATTTTAATTGTTACTTCCTTCGTAAAAAAAACGTTTATATCTTTATACACTCATGTTCGATAATTTTTCTCGTTATAGTTTAAAATATGTTAATTTAACGAATCACTTAGATCGATAAACATTCTTATAAATTTCATCATTTTAAATACAATCCCTTACTATATCTTTATTGTTTTGTATATAAGCTCAGTCATAAATCTTAAAATTTTTACAAGAAATAAACAGATTAAAGATGCTCCAATTTCTTTCTTTATAAATATACATTTGAAATCTTGCATCAATCGTATATTGTTTCCTAATATTCTTCTTAAATATTTGAACACTCAGAATCCTTGAATTAATATTATCATCCAATGGGACGCAAGTCCTTTATACTCGATTCGTTTCGTGACAGATGAGCTGGATACTCTGACGGACACAATTAGTAAATTCCGAAAAATATGTCAAAAATTTTCTCTTCTGCAAAATATAAAATCATTAATTAGCTATTAATGTCACTGATATAGTATGTCAAGGAACGATAAATTATCAAGCTTGTATTATGCTTTCGGTAAGAGCAGTAATTAATCAATTGCTATACAATTTGCAATCCATTGAATCAAATCATATTCAATGAATCGTCAATTTTTATTATTATATCAAAATTGGAAATACGTTATCGAGCCTACTTATCATTATCTCGGAGACCTCAAAGGATATATAAAATATTTTTTTGGAGTCAAAATTATTCATTCTGCATGAATGACAATTGTTCTAAGTGCCTGGGTTATAAAACATCCCAACTATACAATTAGAAATTATTTTGAGGTTTGTACAATTAAAATACTCTGCATATTGGATAACCGATGAGAAATATGTAACACGCACATTAGAACGGGTCTAACAAATTTCTAAGTATTTATTCGAAAAATCAGTGAGTCTCAATAACTCGAATTCTTCCAATTCCCATTAAACAACTAACTCAGATTAAAATCAATTCTTTGCACAAAGTTTCTAAACGAGCTAAGTAACGTGAATTATTTGTTCTAATGTACTGTTTTTTTGCCTGCTTCCTTGTATAATTTGTCAATATATCAAATCAACTTCTATGTCATTCTATGTTCAACGATTCCTTGTCCTGTCGCATCATCATTGAATTAATGTTCCTCTCTGCAAATCCCTGGTAGAAATCACACAATCGAACTGAATGATGATTAGCTTCATTGACATACATCACACATGGAATCAAACAAAGCAACAATATCAAGTTTTAAAGATCATTTGAAAAAAAATATATTTCCACGGTATATACGTACAAAATTTCACAAACATCCCATGGCATTAAGAATATTTATATGTTACTCGTAGGAGCTCTTGTAAATATTGAAAAAGTATTCAATCATTAAAAAATATTTGAAGAATAGACAGTCATTAAAAAATATACATTGAAGCCATTCTCCTCAGATTGGCTAATGATAAAAGATAGTAAGTAGATATATTAAAATGTTATATGGTAATAAACAAATGGCATTTATTCATATAACAATAACAAATTACAAATTACTCTTCTGTATTCGTATGATCGCAATACATTATGATCATCAATTATATCATATTTGTTGCTATTAAATTCATTGCAGATTATACAATACCATAGCGAAAGAAAAAGATTTAGCAATGATCTAGTAAGAATATATTCGAATAGTATACGTTGTTTAGTTGATGTCTTAGCTATATAATTATTGAGAAAATATTTTACCGTTGCGAACAGCTCATGCGATATAAATACTGCGCCCATCAGGGATATACCGCACAGTCTCATGCTATACATTGTTAAGAAGAGTAACAATTTTTGGTTTCTCAATGATAACGAATAAAACGGGAATTGGCATCTGTAAAAATTAATATCGCACATGTATAAAATATCTACATATTCGAGAAAATTAATCGGTTGAATTATTGATAATTATTTATCGATTTTTAAGATCGTGCGGTCTCGACCAATAATGAAAAAAATAAGATTTATCAATTACGCCAAATGAAAAGTTAAAATTCGAGATATTGTACAATTTGTGGTCCTTGTAGGTGCAGACGATGGACCGGAATCTGCCGGAAAAAAATTATACTCATTCTGTCACCATTTCATCATTTAATGTAACAAAGTCAACGAGTTATCTATTATACATATATTCAAGATGAAATTGAAACCACACGAAATTATTGGACCAGTTATAACGTAATAGCGATACCTACAATATTAAAAATACGTTAGCATTGTGATCCATTAAATTTTGAGCGACGTAAGTATAAATGTATATTACAAACATGGTACAAATAATATACAAGAGCTTCTCAATTCCTTCGATTCGGTTAACGCTAAAAGAAAATAACTGAAATAACTGAAAACAGATTTCTCGATGATTCACTTCATGGAGTATATTCTTGAAAACTAAATTTCTTTTAAATATCTAAGTATATGAACATATTTTTCTACTTACGTAAATATAATCTACAAGGATAAATGAAAACGACAATAATGCTGCGATTATTTGAACGGATTCGTAAAAAGATTTTAATAAATCGACAAACCTTGATAGAAATCAAAAAAGAAAATCTGTATTAGAAACATTTAATATATTGTTAATTTTATATTACGTTCGTAAAATGAAATACATACTCGATCGTCCGTTTATAGAATTTTATGAGATGGACTATCCATCCGTTTTCCTCGGTTAATTCACTTTCAACATTAATATAATAAGAATTATGTGCAAGTTTTTCGTATTTATGTTTAACCCTCCATCTAAAATGAATCCATAATAAACCGTAAAAATACATAATAGTGAAATGAATTTTTCTCTTGCAGTATACTTATATCGCCATGATTGATTTACTTACTGGACAATGGAGAAAAGTGCACATGCATGTTGTACGATTGCTATAAACATGGAATAGTTAGCAATTCCTACCGTGCACGTGACTATAATAATTACGTATTGGATTATAAGTCCGATATAATAAACCATTAGGTTCTTCAAGAAATAGTCAGCACGAATTGGTAATATTAATTCCGTTTCATTTATATCACCAGAAACATACCGAAACACACTCAACAATGATGGAAATATCAAAAATACGATATAAATATAAAAGCAGACTATAAGGGAAAAAGCACAAATGAAAATAAATTAATAAATTTCTAGAACACATTTATATTTTCCGTATATATAATGTATTCACTCACCTGTCATTATTATTGTACAAATTCTGCTAATTTCAGCATATTTCTTCACTATCATTAGTTCTGGTTTGTCTGCTAGGTCATCCCAATCGGACTTGATACGGAAAAGAATTTTCTTCATCTGAAATTATTACGTATTTATGTTAAATTAATTATTAGAATGTTGGCAACATATATCGTTTAGAGTAAATAAAAAAAGAAAAGAAAAGAAAATAAGAGGAAAAATTTGTTTTCACGTAGAACGGACAACTCTATCATTCAACAATAGATTGCAATAGCAACAGCTGAAACATAGTGTAGGCAAAAGCATTTCCAGTGATTTGGTGATCGACATTAAATTTCTTTCTGACGTGAACAAAAGTTGTATCTAATAGAACAAATACAAATTATTGTTAATACTTAATACATAAATATGTCATATTATTGAATATATTCAGCCCATAGTTTACTGTCTTCAAATCTTGTATAAATGAATGAAACATTAATCTATTAAACGATGCTTACCTGTCCGATTGATGCAAATGTTAGTATTAAATTAATGAAATAAACATAAATTATGTTCTTGAACGACGTCTGACCTTGCCACAATCCAATTAGACGAAAAAATTGACGATTCATAGTGTAATACTCGTTGTCAATATAATCTTCCTCCTTCGAAAGCATATTGCGGTCTGTTGCTGCTTTCCTACATCGATTGTTTTCAACCCCACGCAGACGTATCTTTATTAATTATTCTAATAATTCCTTCTCAAGGGAATACTTAATAATTCAAATCGATACGACAATCAGAAATTTTTTTGAAATAAAAAATAGAAAATTACCATAAAATGTTTTGAAAGTTCTTATGGCATTCTTCCTTCAGTCGTTCAATACCAAACAATTTAACACATGTATCTCTACCCAGCAATTATGTCAATTTTCATATCTCTTCTTTGCATTGTAAAGTACTCCAACCCTTCTACCGCACGAGCATGCGCGTTGCGAACCAACCCCTTCGGACCGCCTAATTCGCACGCAGTTTAGTTTCATCGCTCGAACACGACGGACGTCGTCCGCTTCAACAAAATTAAATTTGATTTAACACTTCGTATCATTTACAAATTGACAGATTGTTTCGATTATCATAGTTAACATTAATCGATCGTTCTTTCATAAGTGCGAGTGAATGTACGGGGTGAGTCAATTAAATAAATCTAGTATATTAAATATGTTCGATATTTCTGAATCTATAAAAAAAAAAGATTATGATCGAAGTTACATCATACTATGAAATATTAATTATACTTGTATTCTTACCTCCTACGTAAAAAAAACGTTTATATCTTTATACACTCATGTTGGATAATTTTTCTCGTTGTAGTTTAAAATATTTTAAATATATATTTTAAATATTTTGGAAGGAAAATATATTTCCACGGTATATACGTACAAAATTTCACAAATATCCCATGGTATTAAGAATAATTATATATTACTCCTAGGAGCTCGTGTAAATATTCAAACAATATTCAGTCATTAAAAAATATTTGAAAAATAGATCGTCATTAAAGAATATACATTGAAATCATTCTCCTCAGATTGGCTAATGATAAAAGATAGTAAATAGAGATGCAAAAATGTTATATGGTAATAAACAAATGGTATTTATTCATATAACAATAATAAATTATAAATTACTCTTCTGTATGATCGCAATACATTATGATCATCAATTATATCATATTTGTTACTATTAAATTCATTGCAAATTATACAATACCATAGCGAAAGAAAATAACTTACTGATACCCTAGAAAGAAAGATTTCGATTAGTATATGGTATTTAGTTGATGTCATAGCTATATAATAATTCAGAAAATATTTTACATTTGCGAATAATTCGTGGGATATAAACACTCCGCCCATCAGGGATATACCGCACAGTCTCATGCTATACATTGTCAAGAAGAGTAACAATTTTTGATTTCTCAATGATAACGAATAAAACGGAAATTGGCAACTGTAAAAATTAATATCGGTTATAATAATATATAAAATATCTACATATTCGGAAAAATTAATCACTTGGATTAATCATAATAATTTTTTATCGATCCTTAAGATCGTGCGGTCTCGACCAATAATGAAAAAAGTAAAATTTATCATTTCCGCCGAATGAAAAGTTAAAATTCAAGATTTTGTTCAATTTGTGGTCCTTGTAGATGTAGACGATGGACCGGAATCTGTCGGAAAAAAATTATACACATTCTGTCACCATTTCATTATATAATGTAACAAAGTCAGTTATCCGTTATGCATATATTCAAGATGAAATTGAAACCACACGAAATTATTGGACCAGTCATAACGTAATAGCAATACCTACAATATTAAAAATACGTTAGCATTGTGATCCATTAAATTTTGAGCGACGTAAGTATAAATGTATATTACAAAAATGGAACAAACAATATACAAGAGCTTCTCAATTCCTTCGATTCGGTTAAGGCTAAAAGACAATAACTGAAATAACTGAAAACAAATTTCCCGATAATTTATGTTATGCAGTATATTTTTGAAAATTAAATTTCTTTGAAATATCTAAGTATATGAACATATTTTTCTACTTACGTAAATATAATCAACAAGGACAAATGTAAACGACAATAATGCTGCAATTATTTGAACGGATTCGTAAAAAGATTTTAATAAATTGAAAAACCTTGATAGAAATCAAAAATGAAAATCTGTATTAGAAACATTTAATATATTGTTAATTTTATAAATAATGAACTCGTACGTTCGTAAAATGAAATACAAACTCGATCGCGCTTTTATAGAATTTTATGAGATTGATTATCCATTCGTTTTGCTCGGCTAATTCACATTCAACATTCACATAATAAGAATTATGTGGAAGTTTTTCGTATTTATGTTTAACCCTCCATCTAAAATGAATCCATAATAAACCGTAAAAATAAGTAATAGTGAAAAGATTTTTTTCTCTTGCAGTATACTTATATGGCCATAATTGATTTACTTACTGAACAATGGAGAAAAGTGCACATGCATGTTGTACAATTGCTATAAACATGGAATAGTTAGCAATTCCTACCGTGCACGTTACTAAAATCATTATGTATTGGATTATAAGTCCGATATAATAAACCATTAGGTTCTTCAAGAAATAGTCAGCACGAATTGGTAATATTAATTCCGTTTCACTTATATCACCAGAAACATACCGAAACACACTCAACAATGATGGATATATCAAAAATACGATATAAATATAAAAGCAAACTATAAGGGAAAAAGCACAAATGAAAATAAATTAATAAATTTCTAGAACACATTTATATTTTCCGTATATATAAAGTATTAACTCACCTACGATTATTATTGTACAAATTCTGCTAATTTCAGCATATTTCTTCACTATCATTAGTTCTGGTTTGTCTGCTAGGTCATCCCAATCGGACTTGATACGGAAAAGAATTTTCTTCATCTGAAATTATTACATAGTTATGTTAAATTAATTATTATAATGTTGGAAATATATGTCATTTAGAGTAAAAAAAAAAAAAAAAAGAAAAAGAAAATAATAGGAAAAATTTGTTTTCACATAGAACGGACAACTCTATCATTCAACAATAGATTGCAATAGTAACAGCTGAAACATAGTGTTGGCAAAAGCGTTTCCAGTAATTTGGCGATCGACATTAAATTTCTTTGTGACGTGAACAAAAGTTGAATCTAATAGAACAAATACAAAATATTGTTAATACTTAATACATAAATATGTCATATTATTGAATATATTCAACCCATAGTTTACTATCTTCAAATGTTGTATAAATGAATGAAACATTAATCTATTCACGATGCTTACCTGCCCGATTGATGCAAATGTTAGTATTAAGTGAATGAAATAAATATAAATTATGTTCTTAAACGACGTCTGACTTTGCCACATTCCAATCAAACGAAAAAATTGACGATTCATAGTGTAATACTCGTTGTCAATATAATCTTCCTCCTTCGAAAGCATATTGCCGTCTGTTGCTGCTTTCCTACATCGATTGTCTTCAACCCCATTCAGACGTATCTTTATTAATTATTCTAATAATTCCTCTTCAACGGAATACTTAATAATTCAAATCGATACGACAATCAGAAATTTTTTTGAAATAAAAAATAGAAAATTACCATAAAATGTTTTGAAAGTTCTTATGGCATTCTACCTTCAGTCGTTCAATACCAAACAATTTAAGACACGTATCTCTACCCAGCAATTATGTCAATTTTCATATCTCTTCTTTGCATTGTAAAGTACTCCAACCCTTCTACCGCACGAGCATGCGCGTTGCGAACCAACCCCTTCGGACCGCCTCATTCTGACGCAGTTTAATTTCATCGCTCGAACACGAAAGACGTTGTCCGCTCCAACATAATTAAATTTCATTTAACACTTCTTATCATTTGCACATTGACAGATTGTTTCGAATATCATAGTTAACATTAATCGATCGTTCTTTCATAAGTGCGAGTGAATGTACGGGGTGAGTCAATTAAAAAAATCTAGCATATTAAATATGTTCGATATTTCTGAATCTATGAAAAAAAAAAGATTACGATCGAAGTTACATCATACTATGAAATATTAATTATATTTTAATTGTTACTTCCTTCGTAAAAAAAACGTTTATATCTTTATACACTCATGTTCGATAATTTTTCTCGTTATAGTTTAAAATATGTTAATTTAACGAATCACTTAGATCGATAAACATTCTTATAAATTTCATCATTTTAAATACAATCCCTTACTATATCTTTATTGTTTTGTATATAAGCTCAGTCATAAATCTTAAAATTTTTACAAGAAATAAACAGATGTTCCAATTTCTTTTCTTTATAAATATACATTTGAAATCTTGCATCAATCGTATATTGTTTCCTAATATTCTTCTTAAATATTAGAACACTCAGAATCCTTGAATTAATATTATCATCCAATGAGACGCAAGTCCTTTATACTCGACACGTTTCGTGACAGATGAGCTGGATACTCTGACGGACACAATTAGTAAATTCCGAAAAGTATGCCAATATTTGCTCTTCTGTAAAATATAAAATCATTAATTAGCTATTAATGTCACTGATATAGTATGTCAAGGAACGATAAATTATCAAGCTTGTATTATGCTTTCGGTAAGAGCAGTAATTAATCAATTGCTATACATTTTGCAATCCATTGAATCAAACCATATTCAATGAATCGTCAATTTTTATTATTATATCAAAATTGGAAATACGTTATCGAGCCTACTTATCATTATCTCAGAGACCTCAAAGGATATATAAAATATTTTTTGGAGTCAAAATTATTCATTCTGCATGAATGACAATTGTTCTAAGTGCCTGGGTTATAAAACATCCCAACTATACAATTAGAAATTATTTTGAGGTTTGTACAATTAAAATACTCTGCATATTGGATAACCGATGAGAAATATGTAACACGCACATTAGAACGGGTCTAACAAATTTCTAAGTATTTATTCGAAAAATCAGTGAGTCTCAATAACACGAATTCTTCCAATTCCCATTAAAGAACTAACTCAGATTAAAATCAATTCTTTGCACAAAGTTTCTAAACGAACTAAGTAACGTGAATTATTTGTTCTAATGTACTGTTTTTTTGCCTGCTTCCTTGTATAATCTGTCAATCTGTCAAATCAACTTCTATGTCATTCTATGTTCAACGATTCCTTGTCCTGTCGCATCATCATTGAATTAATGTTCCTCTCTGCAAATCCCTGGTAGAAATCACACAATCGAACTGAATGATGATTAGCTTCATTGACATACATCACACATGGAATCAAACAAAGCAACAATATCAAGTTTTAAAGATCATTTGAAAAAAAAATATATTTCCACAGTATAAGCGTAAAAAATTTCACAAACATCCCATGGTATTAGGAATATTTATATGTTACTCGTAGGAGCTCTTGTAAATATTGAAACAGTATTCAATCATTAAAAAATATTTGAAGAATAGACAGTCATTAAAAAATATACATTGAAGCCATTCTCCTCAGATTGGCTAATGATAAAAGATAGTAAGTAGATATATTAAAATGTTATATGGTAATAAACAAATGGCATTTATTCATATAACAATAACAAATTACAAATTACTCTTCTGTATTCGTATGATCGCAATACATTATGATCATCAATTATATCATATTTGTTGCTATTAAATTCATTGCAGATTATACAATACCATAGCGAAAGAAAAAGATTTAGCAATGATCTAGTAAGAATATATTCGAATAGTATACGTTGTTTAGTTGATGTCTTAGCTATATAATTATTGAGAAAATATTTTACCGTTGCGAACAGCTCATGCGATATAAATACTGCGCCCATCAGGGATATACCGCACAGTCTCATGCTATACATTGTTAAGAAGAGTAACAATTTTTGGTTTCTCAATGATAACGAATAAAACGGGAATTGGCATCTGTAAAAATTAATATCGCACATGTATAAAATATCTACATATTCGAGAAAATTAATCGGTTGAATTATTGATAATTATTTATCGATTTTTAAGATCGTGCGGTCTCGACCAATAATGAAAAAAATAAGATTTATCAATTACGCCAAATGAAAAGTTAAAATTCGAGATATTGTACAATTTGTGGTCCTTGTAGGTGCAGACGATGGACCGGAATCTGCCGGAAAAAAATTATACTCATTCTGTCACCATTTCATCATTTAATGTAACAAAGTCAACGAGTTATCTATTATACATATATTCAAGATGAAATTGAAACCACACGAAATTATTGGACCAGTTATAACGTAATAGCGATACCTACAATATTAAAAATACGTTAGCATTGTGATCCATTAAATTTTGAGCGACGTAAGTATAAATGTATATTACAAACATGGTACAAATAATATACAAGAGCTTCTCAATTCCTTCGATTCGGTTAACGCTAAAAGAAAATAACTGAAATAACTGAAAACAGATTTCTCGATGATTCACTTCATGGAGTATATTCTTGAAAACTAAATTTCTTTTAAATATCTAAGTATATGAACATATTTTTCTACTTACGTAAATATAATCTACAAGGATAAATGAAAACGACAATAATGCTGCGATTATTTGAACGGATTCGTAAAAAGATTTTAATAAATCGACAAACCTTGATAGAAATCAAAAAAGAAAATCTGTATTAGAAACATTTAATATATTGTTAATTTTATAAATAGTGAACTCGTACGTTCGTAAAATGAAATACATACTCGATCGTCCGTTTATAGAATTTTATGAGATGGACTATCCATCCGTTTTCCTCGGTTAATTCACTTTCAACATTAATATAATAAGAATTATGTGCAAGTTTTTCGTATTTATGTTTAACCCTCCATCTAAAATGAATCCATAATAAACCGTAAAAATACATAATAGTGAAATGAATTTTTCTCTTGCAGTATACTTATATCGCCATGATTGATTTACTTACTGGACAATGGAGAAAAGTGCACATGCATGTTGTACGATTGCTATAAACATGGAATAGTTAGCAATTCCTACCGTGCACGTGACTATAATAATTACGTATTGGATTATAAGTCCGATATAATAAACCATTAGGTTCTTCAAGAAATAGTCAGCACGAATTGGTAATATTAATTCCGTTTCATTTATATCACCAGAAACATACCGAAACACACTCAACAATGATGGAAATATCAAAAATACGATATAAATATAAAAGCAAACTGTAAGGGAAAAAGCACAAATGAAAATAAATTAATAAATTTCTAGAACACATTTATATTTTCCGTATATATAAAGTATTAACTCACCTGCGATTATTATTGTACAAATTCTGCTAATTTCAGCATATTTCTTCACTATCATTAGTTCTGGTTTGTCTGCTAGGTCATCCCAATCGGACTTGATACGGAAAAGAATTTTCTTCATCTGAAATTATTACGTATTTATGTTAAATTAATTATTAGAATGTTGGCAACATATATCGTTTAGAGTAAATAAAAAAAGAAAAGAAAAGAAAATAAGAGGAAAAATTTGTTTTCACGTAGAACGGACAACTCTATCATTCAACAATAGATTGCAATAGCAACAGCTGAAACATAGTGTAGGCAAAAGCATTTCCAGTAATTTGGTGATCGACATTAAATTTCTTTCTGACGTGAACAAAAGTTGTATCTAATAGAACAAATACAAATTATTGTTAATACTTAATACATAAATATGTCATATTATTGAATATATTCAGCCCATAGTTTACTGTCTTCAAATCTTGTATAAATGAATGAAACATTAATCTATTAAACGATGCTTACCTGTCCGATTGATGCAAATGTTAGTATTAAATTAATGAAATAAACATAAATTATGTTCTTGAACGACGTCTGACCTTGCCACAATCCAATTAGACGAAAAAATTGACGATTCATAGTGTAATACTCGTTGTCAATATAATCTTCCTCCTTCGAAAGCATATTGCGGTCTGTTGCTGCTTTCCTACATCGATTGTTTTCAACCCCACGCAGACGTATCTTTATTAATTATTCTAATAATTCCTTCTCAAGGGAATACTTAATAATTCAAATCGATACGACAATCAGAAATTTTTTTGAAATAAAAAATAGAAAATTACCATAAAATGTTTTGAAAGTTCTTATGGCATTCTTCCTTCAGTCGTTCAATACCAAACAATTTAACACATGTATCTCTACCCAGCAATTATGTCAATTTTCATATCTCTTCTTTGCATTGTAAAGTACTCCAACCCTTCTACCGCACGAGCATGCGCGTTGCGAACCAACCCCTTCGGACCGCCTAATTCGCACGCAGTTTAGTTTCATCGCTCGAACACGACGGACGTCGTCCGCTTCAACAAAATTAAATTTGATTTAACACTTCGTATCATTTACAAATTGACAGATTGTTTCGATTATCATAGTTAACATTAATCGATCGTTCTTTCATAAGTGCGAGTGAATGTACGGGGTGAGTCAATTAAATAAATCTAGTATATTAAATATGTTCGATATTTCTGAATCTATAAAAAAAAAAGATTATGATCGAAGTTACATCATACTATGAAATATTAATTATACTTGTATTCTTACCTCCTACGTAAAAAAAACGTTTATATCTTTATACACTCATGTTGGATAATTTTTCTCGTTGTAGTTTAAAATATTTTAAATATATATTTTAAATATTTTGGAAGGAAAATATATTTCCACGGTATATACGTACAAAATTTCACAAATATCCCATGGTATTAAGAATAATTATATATTACTCCTAGGAGCTCGTGTAAATATTCAAACAATATTCAGTCATTAAAAAATATTTGAAAAATAGATCGTCATTAAAGAATATACATTGAAATCATTCTCCTCAGATTGGCTAATGATAAAAGATAGTAAATAGAGATGCAAAAATGTTATATGGTAATAAACAAATGGTATTTATTCATATAACAATAATAAATTATAAATTACTCTTCTGTATGATCGCAATACATTATGATCATCAATTATATCATATTTGTTACTATTAAATTCATTGCAAATTATACAATACCATAGCGAAAGAAAATAACTTACTGATACCCTAGAAAGAAAGATTTCGATTAGTATATGGTATTTAGTTGATGTCATAGCTATATAATAATTCAGAAAATATTTTACATTTGCGAATAATTCGTGGGATATAAACACTCCGCCCATCAGGGATATACCGCACAGTCTCATGCTATACATTGTCAAGAAGAGTAACAATTTTTGATTTCTCAATGATAACGAATAAAACGGAAATTGGCAACTGTAAAAATTAATATCGGTTATAATAATATATAAAATATCTACATATTCGGAAAAATTAATCACTTGGATTAATGATAATAATTTTTTATCGATCCTTAAGATCGTGCGGTCTCGACCAATAATGAAAAAAGTAAAATTTATCATTTCCGCCGAATGAAAAGTTAAAATTCAAGATTTTGTTCAATTTGTGGTCCTTGTAGATGTAGACGATGGACCGGAATCTGTCGGAAAAAAATTATACACATTCTGTTACCATTTCATTATATAATGTAACAAAGTCAGTTATCCGTTATGCATATATTCAAGATGAAATTGAAACCACACGAAATTATTGGACCAGTCATAACGTAATAGCAATACCTACAATATTAAAAATACGTTAGCATTGTGATCCATTAAATTTTGAGCGACGTAAGTATAAATGTATATTACAAAAATGGAACAAACAATATACAAGAGCTTCTCAATTCCTTCGATTCGGTTAAGGCTAAAAGACAATAACTGAAATAACTGAAAACAAATTTCCCGATAATTTATGTTATGCAGTATATTTTTGAAAATTAAATTTCTTTGAAATATCTAAGTATATGAACATATTTTTCTACTTACGTAAATATAATCAACAAGGACAAATGTAAACGACAATAATGCTGCAATTATTTGAACGGATTCGTAAAAAGATTTTAATAAATTGACAAACCTTGATAGAAATCAAAAATGAAAATCTGTATTAGAAACATTTAATATATTGTTAATTTTATAAATAATAAACTCGTACGTTCGTAAAATGGAATACAAACTCGATCGCGCTATCATAGAATTTTATGAGATCGATTATCCATCCGTTTTGCTCGGCTAATTCACATTCAACATTCACATAATAAGAATTATGTGGAAGTTTTTCGTATTTATGTTTAACCCTCCATCTAAAATGAATCCATAATAATCCGTAAAAATACGTAATAGTGAAAAGATTTTTTTCTCTTGCAGTATACTTATATGGCCATAATTGATTTACTTACTGAACAATGGAGAAAAGTGCACATGCATGTTGTACAATTGCTATAAACATGGAATAGTTAGCAATTCCTACCGTGCACATGACTATAATAATTACGTACTGGATTATAAGTCCGATATAATAAAGCATTAGGTTCTTCAAGAAATAGTCAGCACGAATTGGTAATATTAATTCCGTTTTACTTATATCACCAGAAATATACCGAAACACACTTAACAATGATGGATATATCAAAAATACGATATAAATATAAAAGCAGACTATAAGGGAAAAAGCACAAATGAAAATAAATTAATAAATTTCTAGAACACATTTATATTTTCCGTATATATAATGTATTCACTCACCTGTCATTATTATTGTACAAATTCTGCTAATTTCAGCATATTTCTTCACTATCATTAGTTCTGGTTTGTCTGCTAGGTCATCCCAATCGGACTTGATACGGAAAAGAATTTTCTTCATCTGAAATTATTACATAGTTATGTTAAATTAATTATTATAATGTTGGAAATATATGTCATTTAGAGTAAAAAAAAAAAAAAAAAAAGGAAAAGAAAATAATAGGAAAAATTTGTTTTCACGTAGAACGGACAACTCTATCATTCAACAATAGATTGCAATAGTAACAGCTGAAACATAGTGTTGGCAAAAGCGTTTCCAGTAATTTGGCGATCGACATTAAATTTCTTTCTGACGTGAACAAAAGTTGAATCTAATAGAACAAATACAAAATATTGTTAATACTTAATACATAAATATGTCATATTATTGAATATATTCAGCCCATAGTTTACTATCTTCAAATGTTGTATAAATGAATGAAACATTAATCTATTCAACGATGCTTACCTGCCCGATTGATGCAAATGTTAGTATTAAGTGAATGAAATAAATATAAATTATGTTCTTAAACGACGTCTGACTTTGCCACATTCCAATCAAACGAAAAAATTGACGATTCATAGTGTAATACTCGTTGTCGATATAATCTTCCTCCTTCAAAAGCATATTGCCGTCTGTTGCTGTTCTCCTACATCGATTGTCTTCAACCCCACGCAGGCGTACCTTTATTAATTAATCTAATCATCCCTTTTCCATTATTCACTTAATAATTCAGTTCGATTCAAAGCCAAGAAATTTGCTTGAAATAAAAAGTAGCATATTCCCGTAAAATGATACCCTAGTTTTTATGGTTCTCATTTTTTAGCCGTTCGATATTATAAAATTTAACATATGTTTCTCTTCCTAGCTATCATGTCATTTTCTTACCCTCTCCTTGCATTGTAAAGTACTTCAACCCTTCTACCGCAGGAGCATGCGCGTTGCGAATCCACCCCTTCGGACCGCCTCATTCTCACGCAGTTCACTTTCGTCGCTCGACCTTGACGGACGTATCGTACACTCCATTAAAATAAAGTTTAAATATTTGACGCGTTGACGACATAGTGTTACCATTTGAATGTTAACTATTGGATAACAAATGTTCGTTAAATGTTAATATTTATTTAAACGAGTCTTCGTTTGTTCATATAAACAAATGTCACTTAAATCAGGTCAGCATTATTATTCTATTAATTAGAAAAATGTTTACAATAATAATTCTTATCAATTCAATTTTTGGAATTCTTTGGAAACGGAAAAGATTGGCAAAAATTTTTCATGTATTCAAATGATATTATAAAAGAATACAGATAATAATTAATAATTATTTCATGTACTTTATTTCCCTCATATATATAATATATACATACACGTGTATACGCATATACAGGATGTATGTTTTTTATTTTAACTTGTAATGGATGCTTGTAATCTCTTCATTCTTTTTTTTTTTTTGCATATTTTTATAACAACACTAATATTCAATTCATATCATATCTGACCAATGTTCACTGATATTTATTATTATTATTATTTTTATTATTGTTATATTCTCTTTAAATTCGTCACTTTTTTTCTGCCATTATTTTTCTTTTTAATAAAAATAATGGCAGAAAAAACCACCATTCATTATTGCAAAGACACAGACGTTCAACATTCACAAACAAAAAATATTAAAAATACAAATTGGAAAGTGAAATCAATTTTTTATTACAGAAATTAATTTTCATTATTAGCAGCTACCAAAAAAACAATTATATTTCATTACTACAACGCATTATATAATGTAATACAATGACCAAATATTATATACAATTATCTTCGATTGTATTCATTGCAAATTAAATAATACCGCAGCGAAGGAAAATGACTTTTTTATTGACTGTTAAAAAAAAGGTTTCAATTATTAAACGTTAAAATGTAATATCTATTTTTAATAAATATTTTACCCTTGCCAATAGATCATGGGATACCACTATCGTACCCGTCAGCGATAAACTGCACTGTCTCATGCTTTTCATTATCAAAAGGGGTAACAATTTTTGCGTTTTCAATGATAACGAATAAAACGGTATTTCGCAGCTGTAAAAAGATAATATCACTAATATTAAACATATCTACATATTTGTGACAACTGATTGATCGAATAATAGAAAATAATTTTTTTCATTGATCCTTAAGTTCGTACTGTTTCAACAAATATGAAAAAAAAATATGTCAAATTTATCCTTTTTCGTCAAATAATTAGAGAATAAATTCAATTCGCATCATCCGAACTTTGAAGTTTAAATAGTGCATTAAAATAAGTCGGAAAAAAGAAAATTATATTTGTGCTGTTTCAATCTAATGATCTAAATGGATCATAATAAACGAGCTATCTAATAAAATATATTTGATATGTAATGGAAACAATAAGAAATTATTGGACACATCTTGACAACAAAGAAATACCTACAATATTATAAATACATTAACGTTGTGGTCTATCAGTTGTTGTGAAAGATGGGAGTAAACAAATATTACGAATAAAGAACCAATAATGTACAGGAGCTTTGCAATTATATCGGTCCAATTAAGGGTCCAAGTAAAAATCTGAAATAACTATGAAAAAATTTCTCGTCACTTTACGATACGAATTCTATAATTAAAAATTAAATTTCTTTTTAATATACCTAAACGTTACTTACGTAAAAATAATCAACCAGAATAAATATGAACCACAATAATTCTTCGAAAAGATGAATTAATTCGTAAAAAGATTTTAATAAATCGACAAATCTTGAAAGAAATCCAGAAAGAAATTCTATATTATCAATATTTAATCATTTGTTAATTTTTGGAAACAATAAACACGTGGTCACGTAAAATCAGATACAAACTCGATCGAGTGTTTATAAAATTCTATGACTGCAATTATCCATTCCTTTTCCTTTAATAATTCACTTTCAACATTGACATAATAAGAATTATGTGAAATTTTGTCGAATCTTTGTTTAACCCTCCATCTAAAATAAATCAATAATAAACAGCAAAAAATCATAATAAAGTAAAATATTTTTTTCTCTTTGTTAGTACTTAAATCATCATAATTGATTTACTTACTGGACGATGGAAAATAATGCACAGGCATGCTGTATAGTTGCTATAAACATGGAATAATTGGCAATTCCTACCGTGCACGCTATTGATATAATTACGTATTCGATTGTAAGCGTAGAGAAGTAATACATTAAGTTTTTCAGAAAATAATCGGCATGAATTGGTAATATTAATTCCGTTTTACTTATAGTACCAAAAACGTATTGAAACACAGTTAAAAATGATGGAAATATTAAAAATGTAATATAAAGATAAAACCAGACTATAAGGGTTAATGGACAAATGAAAATTTGTTAATAAAAAACTATAAAAGATTTATATATTTCAAATTATGATTATATGCACTCACTTGCTATTATTATAGTACAAAGTCTACTAATTTCAGCATACTTCTTCAATATCAAAATTTCTGTCTTGTTTGTTAGGACATCCCAGTCGTACTTGATACGACAAAGTATTTTCTTCATCTGAAATTTATAATTCGATTTGAAATTTATTATCATAAATATATGAGAGTATGATTATTTCGTAGAGAGAGAGAGAGAGAGAGAGAGAGAGAGAGAAATGTTAATATAATTATCTGTCAATTATTACGGACAATTTCATTATTCAATAATATATTATAATAACAGGATGCGAGACATAAAGTAGGTAAGACCGTTTCCAATAATTTAGCGATAGATGATAATTTTCTTTCAGACATGAATAGAAAATAAACCTAAAGGAAAAAAAAAAAATGAAAAGTATTATTTATACATGATAAACAATATGTCATAGTATTAAATCCATTCTCTCTATAATTTATTATATTCAAGTATTGTATTAGGTTGGAAACTATGAAACGGGCGTTTTTGTTTAATTATTGATATTCATTCAATGCCCGTTTCATAGTTTCCAATCTAATGTAAAAAAAAAAAAAAAAAAAAAAAAAAAAAAAGAAAAGTAATATAGAAATAAATTCAATGACTAATACCTGTTCGAATGATCCAAGTAATAGCATGACATTAATGAAACAAATATAAATTTTATTCTTAGATGACGTTTGACATTGCCAAAGTCCAATTAAACGAAAAAATCGTCGATTGTAAGTATAATACTCGTTGTCAATATAATCATCCTCCTTCGAAAGCATATTGCCGACTATTGAGATCCTTCAACATTGATTATCTTCAACCCCACTCAGATCTACCTTTATTAATTATTCTAATCGTCCCAGTTCAAGTGAATACTAAATAATTCAATTCGATTAGACGATCAGAAATTTTCTTCAAATACAAAATAAAAAATTTCCCGTAGAATATTTTCAAAGTTATAGCCGGCTTACCTGTTGCCATTCAATATCATTCAATTTAACACATGTATCTCTTCTCAGCAATTATTTCATTTTCTTATCTCCTTCTTTGCATACGACAATACTTCAACCCCTTCTTCCGCAAGAGCATGCGCATTGCGAACCCGCCCTTTCGGACCGCCTCCTTCTGCCGCAGTTTACTTTCGTCGCTCGACCTTGACGAACATATCGTACACATCAATAAACTATAGTTTAAGGTAGTTCGTGCCTTAAGATTATTTTCTTAAAATTTGTACTTTAAAAAGGATATAAGAAATGTTCCTACAATGTGAATAACTATTTAAACGAAATGTTCGTTTATTTATACGAACAAATGTAAAGGGTAAGTCTTTTAAATTATACCAATTTTATTTTTCGTTTAATCGAGAAAAATGATCAAGACGAAGCTTTCTGTTATTTCCAATTTTTTTTTTTTTTTTTTTTTTTTTTTTAATCCTTTCTAATTCCAGAATAGATATGTCATAAGAGAATAGAAATTATCGTTGTGAATAATTTTTCAAATTTTTATTTTAAACAATTACAAGTAATCATAACTATTCCCTTGTATAATCATTTCCTTGATACAATATATACATATATATATATATATATATATGTAAATACGTACATATAGGGTGTCCATTAATAAACAGATCGTAATAAATATAGGATGCAATTGATTGAATTATCACGAGAGTTACTTAAATATTTTTCAAATTTTAATTCAAGAGACATTTAAATATTTATTTGTTACTCGTAAATTCTTCGTGGTACGAAGATTAGTATACATTTTTTTAAGTGGATTCTTGTAATTCTATATTTTTTTCATTTTCTTTGGTCACCTTTTTTATAATCACTATTCAATGCACATCACATCCGGGAAACGTTTATCTAGTTATTATTATTATGATTATTGCAATTATAATATTCTGTTTGAATTCGTTGATTTTTTGCTGCTGTAATTTCTCTTTTTAATTCAAATTAATTATTTTTAAAAAGATTTCCTTCGTTGGCTATATAATGATGTTCGACATTCTCAAAAAAAAAAAAAAAAAAAAAAAAAGAAAAAAAAAGAAATACTGAATACACAAACTGGAATGCGAAATCAATTTTCTATTATAGAAATTGATATTTCCATAATTACCAGCTATAAATTATGAAGGATTCGTAAACTGTACTTTATTACTATAACACATTATATAATACAATGCAATGATCAAATAACCATACATTATCCTCTTTTATTAAATTCATTGCAAATTAAATAACACCGCAGCGAAAGAAAGTGACTTCTTTATTGACTATTAAAAAAAAGGTTTCAATTATTAGAAGATGTTAAAAAGTAATATCTATTTTTAATAAATATTTTACCGTTGCGAATAGTTCATGGGATACCACTATCGTACCCGTCAACGATAAACTGCACTGTCTCATGCTTTTCATTATCAAAAGGGGTAACAATTTTTGCGTTTTCAATGATAACGAATAAAACGGTATTTCGCAGCTGTAAAAAGATAATATCACTAATATTAAACATATCTACATATTTGTGACAACTGATTGATCGAATAATAGAAAATAATTTTTTTCATTGATCCTTAAGTTCGTACTGTTTCAACAAATATGAAAAAAAATATGTCAAATTTATCCTTTTTCGTCAAATAATTAGAGAATTAATTCAATTCGCATCATCCGATCTTTGAAGTTTAAATAGTGCATTAAAATAAGTCGGAATAAAGAAAATTATATTTGTGCTGTTTCAATCTAATGATCTAAATGGGTCATAATAAACGAGCTATCTAATAAAATATATTTGACATGTAATGGAAACAATAAGAACTTATTGGACACATCTTGGACAAAACAAATATACGTACAATATTATGAATACGTTGGTATTGTGATCAATTAATTTTTGTGCAAGATAAAAGTAAACATATATTACGAAAAAAGATCCAATGACATAAAAGAGCTTTGTTAATCCTTCTGTCTTATTCAGTGTAAAAGAAAATACCTGAAATAACTAAAATTTTACGTTTTTACGGCTATTTAAAATTTGACACTTTTCGATACGATACACACACACACACACACATATATATATATATATATGTATGTAATTTTCAATTACGTATTTTTAATTTTTTTTTTTTAAATATTACTTACGTAAAAATAATCTATCAGAATAAATGCAAATATCAATAATTCTTCGAACAGATGAATTGTTTCATAAAATGATTTCAATAAATCGACAAATCTTGAGAGAATTTATAAAAGAAATATTCTAATGTTAATATATAATCAATTATAAATATTATTAATAATAAAAGATCGTAAAATCAGATACAAACTTTATTGCATTTTTGTAGAATTCTATTATATCAATTATCCATTCATTTTCCTCGTTTAATTCATTATCACTACTGGCATAATAAAAATTGTGTGGTTTTTTTTTAAATCTTTCATTGACTCGCCATCTGAAAGAAATCAATTCTAAATCGACAACAAAATTCACTTATACAATAATCGTATCATCATTTATGATTTACTTACTCGACGATGTCTAAAAGTGCACAAGCATGCTGTATAATTGCTATAAACATCGAATAATTAGCAATGCCTACCATACAGACGATTACTATAATTACATATTCGATGATAAAAATGAAGTAATAATACATTTGATTTTTCATGAAATAATCGATATAAATTGGTATTATCAATTCAGTTTCACTTATTATACCGAAAATGTATTGTAAGTTACGTAAAAATGATGGAAAAATTAAAAAAGTTATATAAAGATAAAAAAAAACTGAAATATAATATAAAAGAATCAATTAATAATTAAAATTCATTTATATAATCGCGTTAGATTATTTACCTGTAATTAGAATTGTACAATTTCTGCTTACGTCGGCATATTTTTTCAATATTATTAATTCCGATTTATTGGTTAAATCATTCCAGTCACATTTAATCCTATGAAGTATCGTCTTCATCTGAAAACACAATATATCATTTCGTTGATATTAATTATTCTAATGACATGATATTAATTATTCTATGAAGGAAAAAAAGAAAAAGAAAAGAAAAAAAAGAAAAAAGAAAAGAAATAATGAAAAGAAAAGAAAAAATTATTTTTCATTAATTACGAACAATGGCACCGTTCAACAAGAGATTATAATAGGTAGATCCAAAGCATAACGTAGGCAAGAATGTTTCCAATAATTTGGTGATCATGATTAACGTACTTTTTGACGTGAAAAGAAGATAAATCTAAATTCAAAAAAAAAGAAAAAAAAAAAAACAGAGAAAAAGAAAAGAAAAGGATCGTAATATAATTAAACATTTAATAAAAAAAAAAAAAGAAGAAGAATATTTCTCATATACATTTTTTCATAATCCATTAAATTATACATTATTATTTCACAAATTTTCTAAATAAATTAAACGTCAAACAAATTAATAAAGCTTACCTGTTCGAATAATGCAATAATTATCATAAAACTGATGAAACAAACGTAAATCATATATTTAAACGATCCTTGATATTTCCATAATCCAAGAATTCTAAATAATAAACGATTATAAGTATAATACTTGTTGTCGATATAATCATCCTCCGTCAAATCCATACTTCCGTTTGTTTGGACTTCTTAACATCGACTGACAACGAACTATAGATTTCAACTAAAACTTCATTAAATATTCCAATTAAAAGTAACATCTATTAATCGTTAAATAATTCAATTTGATTATACCTTTGGAAAATTATCTTTCAATCATCCAATCCAAATAACATTTGTATTTATACTTGAATAATTTTCCCTATGGAATTAAACATCTGTTTTATTTCCCGATTATTATTTCATCCCCTATATTACATTGTAAAATATTCCATCCCTTTTTCTTGCAAGCGCATGCGCGTTGCGTACCCAATCCACCCGCTTGCCACCCTTCCCCTCCCTCCCCCTACCACGGATCATCCCATTCTCACGCAGTACATTTCCGTCGCTCGAACGTGACGGACGTGTCCTTGAGTTCAGCAAAAAAAAGAAAAAAAAAAAAAAAAAAAAAATGAACCCTTAAGTTATTACATTTAAATTATTACAAGTCAATATTATATTTCTATCAATTGAACGTTAACATGTGTAATAATAATTAATGATCTTTCAATTTTTAATATTATATATAAAACGTATGTTCGTATGTTCGGATAATACGCAGGGTGAGTTATTTAATATAGAACAAAATGTTATTATTTTTTTTCGATTGAATATATTGTTAAAACAATTGTTAAACTATTTCAAAAAGGGAAATTATTTTGTAACAGTTAACGAAATATTTTATCGGTATAGTTTATTTTTCAATATTATAAGATATTATCTTTAAACGAAAATATTGGATAATTTTTATTTTCTTTTTTTATTTCTTTCCTTCTTTCTTTCTTTTATTGTTCGATAATTCCAATTACTTTAGTTTTTTTTTTCTTTCTAAATTTAAAAGAAAAAAAAAAAAAAAAGAAAATTATAAATAATAAGAAAATTTGTAAATAATTGTGTAAATATAATTTAATAAATAAAAAAAAAAAAAAAAAGGAATTATGAAAAAATAATTACTGATTAATGCTATTTTATAATTACTGATTGATGCAAATCTTTTTTTATTATTTCTTCAAAATTAGAAAAAAAAAAATATATATATATATATTTACGAAGTGAATTAGACGTCTGTTGTTAGGTTTTATTTTGAAAGTATATACATATATATATATATATATATATATATATATATATTTTTTCTAAACAATAATTTCTTTATCTTCCCTTATAGTTTAACATTTCATTATAAAAATGCATCATATAAGTTTGCACAAACGTAAATCAATAATGTTCTTATAATTATCATTCACGTATTTTATAATATCAAATTATAATAATTACATAATTGTTAATTTATTAAAAAAAAAAAAAAAATGATTCAATCAATTAATGATTCAATTAATAATTTTCTTAAAATTAATAGACATTTAACAATCATCGAGAATAACGTTATAGTCTTTAATTATTATAATATCATTTGCACGTTAACAATTATATAACAAATGTACGTTCGATGTTAATATCGATCGAAACGATTGTTCGCTTTTTTTTGTGTTTTCTTTTTTGTTTTTTTTTTTCTTTTCTTCTTTTTTTCGTGCAAACAGATCTACAGGGTGAGTCATTTAAAAACAGCGTTATTTGAAGTTTTTCATAGGTGACGATATTTTTCGAAAATATTTGAACGATTCTTATCGATAAATATTGAAAATGTTGAAAGTGTTTTCTTTTTGTTTTTTTTTTCTTTTTTTGGTGAATATCATTTTCCTTTTTACATGACCTGCAGATCATTATTATTAAAAATAAATCCTAAGAATATTTTCCAATTAAAGAATGTCATCGTCTAATGTAACAAAATGATTGGATCACGATCTATTTTGAAATAAGTATAAATAATTTAGCATGATTGTAAAACAATTGTGTCCTTTTCTTTTTTTGCGTTTTTTTTTCTTTTCGTTTTTTTTTTTTTTTTTATTCTCTCAAATCAAAATAGATCATATCATAAAATGAATGTTCCAAAAATTTGATTAGAATTTCACGATGATATTATTTAATTGGACGTAAAAAATTTCAAAACTACTAATGATCCTTTGAATCGATGAAACAAAAAAAAAAAAGAAAAAAAAGGGGGGGGGGGAGAATTAAAATGATGTATTTCAAATTCTAAATGTTATTGCAATATTTTCTTTTCGATCGTGATTCATTGAAAAATTATTTCGATCAATATGAAAAATTGATGAACGAGACGATTTAATAAAGAAAATTTGATAATCAGTAAAAGTTTATTAATAAATGTTAACATATAAATAAGTGTTAACTCGTTTTTCTTTTCGTTTTTTTTTCTTTTTTCTTTTTCTTTTTTATTTCTCTTTCCTCTTCTTTTCTTTTCTTTTCTTTTTTTCTTTTTCTCTCCTTTTTTAAGAATGAAAATTTTCTCGGCTAATTAAATATTTGGCCTATTAAAAAATACTACAATTGTACTATATTTCCGTTCATATAAAGTTCATATATAGTTCATATATTATATATTATCATTCGTTAAATTTGTTTTAAATTATAGAATACCATAGCGAATGAAAATGACGAGCGCATTATCTGTTGAGAAAGATTTGTATTAGTATAAAATAATTACCAAAAAAAAAAAAAAAAAAAAAATATATATTTATATTTGTTTTTTTTTCTCTATTTATTAAATAAAATAAATTTTACCATAGCAAACAAATAATGGGATATTTCTTTCATTCCTTCGACCGTAAGATTACATTGTCTCATGCTTTTCATTATCAAAAAGAGCAATACTTTTCGCGTTTTCAATGATAAAACATAGAACGGTATCTGACGACTGAAAAAATTAATTAATTACATATAATACGTACATATATATATATATATATATATATATATATGTACAGTGAGCATAGAAAGTATTCATACAGCAGTGAATTTAAACAAAAACTATGTAGAACATTATTGATAACAATAACTTGATAAAAATGTTGATAAAATGTTAACAAAAAAAAAAAGAAAATATATATATATATATATATTTTTAGAAATCATTAAAATGAATACTATTAAAGAATAATTATTCATTTATATTTATTACGAAAATATTAACGAATTTTCAAAAATTATCAATATATGTATATGATAATATGTTTATATAAAATGTACATACGTAGCACATAAAATGTATCGGAATTGCGCGTTGCGTGATTTATGGAATTTTTCTTTTTTTTTTTTTTTTTTTTTTTTTTTCATACATATATTTTATTATTATTTCTGAAGTTTCGAAGAATATACTTTAATATATTATTTTGAAGTAAAAAAAAAAAAAAAAAAAAAAAAAAAAATGATTTATTCCGTACGAATGACGGACCATTCAAAAACCTTGATATCGTGCGGTGCACAAATTGACAAATCACAATTGCACAAATTGACAAATCACAATTGCACAAATTGACAAATCACAATTGTACAAATTGACAAATCGCAATTGCACAAATTGTGAAATTATTTGAAGATGTGACAGTACTCGGGTTAAAGTATATTAATCCGTATGAAAAAAAAAGAAAAAAAAAAAATTACAGATTATAAATTCAGAAGAAGAAGGAGAAAAAGAAAAAGGACAAAAATGAAAAAAAGAAGAAGGAAAAAAATTATGAAGAAGTAAACAAATATTTACAATGCCAGTGATACGTCGATGCTGTTGTCAATTAATTTTTGTCCAAAATGAAAGTATGCATATATACAGAATAACGATGCAACGATGTAACACATATTTGTCAATCTTTCGATATTAGTTAGATCAAAAGAAAGTATCTGGAGTATCTAAAAACAAAAAAGAAAAGAAGAAAAAAAAACAAATAAAAAAAACAAAAAAAAAAAGAAAGAAAACAAAATTTTAACATTTATCTTAACTTGTCCTACATCAACATGATTAATAATAATAATTGAAATATTTCACAAGTCTTATATCTCTTTTATCTTTTTCGAATGAATACTTGTTACTCACGTAAAAATAATCTATCATGATAAAAATCGTGGCCAGGAAAATTTCGAAGAGGTGGCTCCTTTCATAAAACGCTTTAATTAAATTGACAAATCTTGAAATAAAAGAAAAAAAAACGATAAAAAGAAAATTTCGATACATACATACATAAATATATATATATATATATATATATATATATATATATATATATATTAGTTTGGAAACTATGAAACGGGCGTTTTTGTTTAGTTATTTATTTTCATTCAACGCCCATTTCATAGTTTCCAACCTAATATATAAGTATTAGATTGGAAACTATGAAACGGGCATTTTTGTTTAGTTATTTATTTTCATTCAACGCCCGTTTTATAGTTTCCAACCTAATATATATATACATATATATACATATATATATATAATTTTTCATCAAACATAAATTATATCGACGATTGATTCGATAGAAAAAAAAAAAAAGAAGAAAATTTGTTTTAATAAAATTATTATACAAACTCGATCGTGTTGTTATAAAATTTTATGATATCGATTATCCATTCATTTTCCTCAATTAATTCAGTTTTCATGCTTGATTGATAAGAATAATGTGATTCCTTTTTAAATCTTTCATTTACTCTCCATCTGTAACAAAACTTCATGATTATTACAAGCTTACACACACACACACACACACACACACACACACACACATATATATATATATATGAATTGATTTTTGAATTGACAATTTTTCCATTACACAATATCTCAATGAATTTCATCGTAATTGATTACTTACACGATAATATTAAAAAGTGCACATGCATGCTGTATAACTGCTATGAACATCGAATAATTAGCAATTCCAACTGTACAAAGTGTGGTTATATTAATCCATTGCATTAAAAGTTCCATATAATATAACATTTGAGTTTTAACGCCATAAGAAATTGGTAATAATAATTCGGTTTCATTTATGGCACCATAAATGTATCGTATGTTACATAACAACGATGGAAATATCAAAAATGCTATGTAAAGATAGAAACATACTGAAATGTAAGGGTGAAAATAAACAAAAACAAACGAACGAACAAACAAACAAAAAAAAAACGAAAAGAAAAAGAAAAAAAAAAGAGAGAGAAAGAAATAAATATGGATTAATTATTATATAATGAATATTTATCGGGGATACAATTTTTTATTTTATATTGCCAACTTGCAATAGTAATCGTGCACAGTCTGCTCAGTCGGGAAAATTTTTTCAATATTATTAATTCGGCCTTAGTCGTTAGATCGTCCCAATCGCATTTGATACGGTGCATAATTTGTTTCATCTGAAAGATATACGTACTTTTACGAATTGATTAATTGTAATATTCTAATGAATAATTTATAATTGGAAAGAGGGAAGGAAAGGTGGTGAAAAAGGTGGAGCTGTGGATGAAAGGAAAGAAGTAGAAGAAGGAGGAAAATTTTTTTTTTTTTTTAAATATATTTTCAATCAAATACGAACAATTACGCCGTTCAATAATAAATTGTAATAACAAGATCCAAAGCATAAAGTTGGCAATGTAATTTCCAATAATTTAATGATCGATATTATATGTCCTTTTGACGTCAAAAGCGTATAAATCTGAAAAGTTAAATAACCAACGATATTTTTATATTAAATGAAGCTTTAAGAAAAAAAAAAAAAAGAAAAAAAAAGGGGGGGATCAATATTGTTCGAAAACTATAATCAATTGAAATAATTCACAAATTCAATGATATTTACCTGTTGATATAATCCAATGGCTATCAAAATATTAATCGTACAAACGTAAAAGAATTGCTTAAGCGATCTCTGATATTCCCATAAACCGAGAATTCGAAAAAATCGACAATTGTAAACATAATACTCTTGATCGATATAATCTTCCCCTTTCAATGTCATATTTCCGTCTGTTACAGTTTTCTAACATCGACTAACTTCAAATACCATACATTTGTCGAAATTCATTAAATATTCTTATCGTTCGTGTTCGTCTAATAATACGTTTTAATAATTCAATTCTATAAACATCTACAAAAATTCTCATGCAATTGATACTTAGATAATATTTATAAGATTCTATACCTACTTTATATCGACTAACAATATTATACAATTAAACATCTGTATCATTTTCCATCAATTATATTATTATTTTCCTTATTTCATTCTTGCCATTGTACTTCATCCCTTCTCTCGCGACGAGCGCATGCGCATTGCGTATCCACCCCCTTTAGAACGTCCCACGTTCTCACGCAGTACAGTTTTGTCACTCGAACGTGTCGGACGTGTCGTTGACTTCAGCAAACAAAAAAAAAAACAAAAAAAAATGAAGAAAAAAAAGAAAACAAGAAAAAAAAATAATCCGTGTTAATACTTAACACGTCAATTTTATATTTCAATATTATCTTGAATTTTTGAATATTTTTTTTTACAAGTGTGATAAATAATAATCGTTCAATGTTTAATATATATATATATATATATATATATATATATATATATATCTAAACGAACGTAAGTATGTTCGAATAAATCACATAATACAGAACAGTGTTATTATTATTTTTTCAGAGAATATATTCAGAAAAATTGTTAACTTGTATCAGTGTGAATTTTTAATAACGAACAATATTTTTTATTAATCGAAATTTCAAGTTCATCGATATTTCCTCGAATAATAAGTACAGCATTCTTTTTCTTCCTTCTTTTTTTTCTTTTTTTCTTTTTTTTTTTGTTCTTTTTAATAATTTCAATTGCCGTAATTATTCTAAATTAATAAAATAATATAAATAATAATACAAAATTGCAAATGATTTAATTCGTATGAAATTGTACGAGTCAGTGAGTATTGATTATTGATGCTATTTTAAAAATCTACGCTATTCCCTTTTTTTTTGGTGGATAAAAAATCGAAAAAAAATTTTTAAATATTGAATCTTGAATCTTGAAAATTTTTAAATATTGGTGCTTGAATTCATTGAATCATTGAAATCAATTGAACGATTTGAATCCTTGAATCGATCGTATGCTTGAATACTTTTTCCATCATTTTTCAAATTTTTACACTTCATCAAAAAAAAAAAAAAAAAAAAAAAAAAAAAAAAAAAAAAAAAAAAAAAAAATAGAAAATCAGATAATATAAATCCTCACATATATCGATAATGTGTTTTCTTTAATTTTATAAAATAACAATATTACATAATTATGTAATATTTTATTTAAAATGATAAATTAATTATTTTACTTTAAATAATTCAATCAATGATTCATACAATCAATAATATTAATGAAATTAATCGATAATGAAATTTATCAAAAAAAAAAAAAAAAAAAAAAAAAAAAAAAAAAAAAAAAAAAAAAAAAACGATAAATATTGCCTCTATGCAATATAAATCAAGAATTTGGAAAATAATATCTATTGAAAATAATTGTTTCCTGCGATTTATATTTTGGAAAAATAAAATATCACATTTACAATTGTATTCGTATACTAATCTATAATATTATACTCCAATAGATTCATTGTAAATTATAGAATACCATAGCGATAGAAAATGATGATCGCATTAACTATTAAAAAATATTTCGATTATTATAAATTTCTTAATGTTTCTTCATAAAGTATATACATTTATTCCTAAAATATTTTTTTTTTTTACCGAAGCAAACAAATCATTTGATACTTCTTTAACACCCGCCAATGATAAATAAGATATTCTCATGCTGCTCATTATCAAAAAGAGTAACATTTTTTTCGTTTTCGCTGATAACGAATAAAACGGTAAGTGACAGCTGTAAAAGAAATCAATTGATTATGTATATATATATATATTCAAAATATATATATATATATAAAAATATATATATATATATGTATATATATATATAAAAAAATATATTCAAAAAAAATATATATATATATATAATTTATATGTACATGAAATAATGTTGGATTTTTGAAAAAGAAAAAGATTCTTGTGTTTGTACAGAAATTCGTTCGACTTGATAAAAAAAAAAAAAGTCGAAGGTTTTCTTCCTTTTCTTTTTTTTTTTTGTTCCGCCAAATGAAAAAAAAAAAAAATCCAATTCATGATTTCGTTCAATTCAAACCTTACAAGATATTTTTTATACAAATTTTCCTTCAGCTAATGCCATTGTGAGAATTTTCTACGAGGCATTTTTTTTTTTTTTTTTTTTTTTTTTTTTTTTTTATTCATAATATTAACCAAAAATCCACGCACGAAATTAATTGAATATATTATACTTACAATGCTTTAAACACATTCTCACTGTGATCAATTAATTTTTGTCCAAGATAATAATAAATGTATATCACGAAGAGTGACGCAATAACATAACAGATATTTGTCAATCCTTCAGTTCCAGTCAGATTAAAAGAAAATATCTGAAATATCTAAAAAGAAAAAAAAAAAAAAAGAAAAGAAAAAAGAAGATCAAGAAGAAAAAATTCAACGGAAATTCACTCCATTTCTCAATTATTATATTTCTTAACAAAAAAAAAGAGAACAAAAAAATTGAAAATTATTTTAACACGTATCCATACTTACGTAAAAAATGATCAATCATGATAACTCAAAAAAAAATATATTCAAAAAATATTATTCAAAAAATATTTATAAGAAAAAACAAAAATTGAAAATTATTTTAACACGTATCTATACTTACGTAAAAAATGATCAATCATGATTATTCAAAAAAAAATATATTCAAAAAATATTATTCAAAAAAATATTTATAAGAAAAAACAAAAATTGAAAATTATTTTAACACGTATCGATACTTACGTAAAAAATAATCAATCATGATTATTCAGAAGAAAATATATTCAAAAAATATTTATAAGAAAAAAAAAACAGAATTGAAAATTATTTTAACACGTATCCATACTTACGTAAAAATAATCAATCATGATGACTATCGATGCCAATAATATTTCGAACAGATAAACTGTTTCATAAAATGATCTTATCAAATTGACGAATCTTGATATAAAACAAAAAAAAAAGAAATAAATAAATAAATATTCTAACGTTAACTTAATTGCATAATTAATAAATCATATTAACACTTAATATATTATATAGATAGTAAAATGTGATACAAACTCGATTACGCTATTACGATATTTTACGATACCGATTAACCATTCACTGTCCTCGACTAAGTCAGTATTATAATTGGCATAATGGAAATTATGCGAACATTTTTTAAATCTTTCATAAACCCTCCATCTGTAATAGTTCGACGATATTCACAAAAAAAAACAAAAAAAAACAAAAAAAAACAAAAAAAAGCAAAAGAAAAAAATATTTCTCCTTTAATAATATTCTCAATGTTCATATTTAATACTTACTCGATTATGTTAAACAATGCACAGGTATGCTGTATAATTGCAACGAACATAGAATAATTAGCAATTCCCATTGTACACGTAACGAGAATAATTAAATATTGAATAAAAATTATATGATAATAATGTATTTTACTTTTCGTGAAATAATCAATATAAATTGGTAATATTAATTCACTTTGATTAATAGAACCAATATTATATTGAAATATACTTAACAACGATGGAAATATCAAAAGTATAATATATAGATAAAATGAAACTGTGAATATAAAAAGTAATAATTATATGACATAATAATATATTTCTTTAATTTAATTATAATAAAATTTTTCTTTCACATAACAACCAACCTGCTATCACTATTGTACAAGATCTACTTCTACTCGCATATTTTTTCAATATCATTAATTCCGGTTTATTCTCTAAATCATTCCAATCGCATTTCATGCGATGAAGAATTTTCTTCATCTAAAATTCATACGTAAATTGTATTAATTCGTTCATTAAAAAATAATACGTGCGCGTGTGTCGTTTATAATTGAACGAAGGAAAAAGGAATAAGGAAAAACAAAACAAAAAAAAAAAAAGAAAAAGAAGAAAAGAAAAAATAAATAAAATCATTGAAATATAACTATCAAGAAATACGAACAATTGTGCCATTGATTAAAAGATTGTAATAACATGACACAAAGCATATAAATGGCAATATATTTTCCAATAATTCGATGATAGATTTTAATTTTCGTTCGGACATCATCAGAGCATAAATCTAAAGACATACAACATCCATTATATTATTTGATATTTAATAGAATAAAATAAAATAAAAAAGAAAAAAAAAGAAAAGAAAAGAAAAAAAAAGAAAGTTAGCCTTATTCAAAATAATATAAAAGATAATATAATCCATAGAGAAATAATATAATACTTAACGATTTCAATTAATACAATGATTAATATAAAATTGATAAAACAAACGTAAATCAATTGTTTAGTTGACGTTTGATATTTCCATAATCCAAGAAATTTAAATAATAAAAGATTGTAAGTATAATACTCGTTGTCAATATAATCTTCCTCTTTCAAAAGCATACTTTCTTCTGTTATGACTGTTTAATGTCGACTGACCTCAACCCTTTACGTTTAATCAAACATCATCCCTTTAATCATTACTTTAATCATCTCTGATCTATTACAAAATTCTTTATAATTTTCAAAAACTGTTCAATGAATAATCGATATTTGTAAAATATTTATAAAATTCTATACCTTCTTTACATTGACGTTGCAGTATTATGCAATTAAACATCTGTCTCACTTCCCAACGATTATTTATTTCACTTTTCTTTTCTTTTCTTTTTTTTTCTTTTTTTTTTTTTTATACCCCATCCTTGCATTGTAAATTACTTCATCCCTTCACTCGCAAGCGCGTGCGCGTTGCGAGCTAAACCACCACCACCATCCTCCCCTCCCCTCCCCACCCCTCGCCCATCTTAACGCCCCATTTTTCCTCAGTTGACTTTTGTCACTCGAACGTGACGGACCGATTTTTTTTTTGGGCTTCAGCAAAACAAAAAAAAAAGAAAAAAAAAAGAAAAAAAGAAAAAAATTCAAATTATATTACTTAATCCGTCAGCAATTAAAAAATCCAAGGAATCGTTTGTACAGTCGGGGCAAACAATTGTGCAGGGTAAGTCGCTTGAAACTTGACAGCGTTAATTTTTATTCTAATAAATATGTCAAGATTTTTAATAAATCGTTATAATAAATTTTTAATAAATTGTCCAAGATAATTGTTTTAATAAATTTTTAATAAATTGTTCAAGATAACAATTGAACTGTTTCGATCTTTTATTTATTTTTCCCCAAGGATTTCATTGATATTTTTTTATTCTTTTTTATTTTATTTCTTCTTTTTATTTCTTTTTTTTTCTTTTTTTTTTTTTTTTTTTTATGAAATCCATCAATTATTTTGTTTCGCAATTAATACATTTTTGATTTCTTCGTAAACAGATGAAAAAGAAGTATCGTCGAATGATGCTTAATACGCTGTGTATTTGGAAAAAAAAAAAAAAAGAAAAGAAGTATTTACGCTGATTCGAGCAAATTTTAATAATCGTATCGTTTTATCGCTTGAAATTAAAAAAAAAGAAATAAAAATAAAAAAAAAACAAAAGAAGAAAAAATGTTTTGAATGGGAGGGGAAAAAGAGGGTGAATCAATAAATATTGACTATATATACACGACGATCGTATTTTTGCAATCATATATAAAATATAAAAATGAAAAAAAAAAAAAGAAAATAAAAGAAAATAAAAAAGAAAAAATGTTTTGAATGGGGGGGAAAAGAGGGTGAATCAATAAATATTGACTATATATACACGACGATCGTATTTTTGCAATCATATATAAAATATAAAAATGAAAAAAAAAAAGAAAATAAAAGAAAATAAAAAAGAAAAAATGTTTTGAATGGGGGGAAAAGAGGGTGAATCAATAAATATTGACTATATATACACGACGATCGTATTTTTGAAATCATATATAAAATATAAAAATAAAGAAAAAAAAAAGAAAAAGAATTATTCAATAATTATTATTCACGTATTAATTATGAATATAATTAATATAATTAATATTTGTATAATAATATTAATTATAATTAAATTGATTAATATAATTAATGATTGAATATAATTAATATAATTCAACGATTATATAATATTTGATAAATATTATTACACAATCATTTTCCTTTTAATTAATATCATAAGTGTATCCAATCTAATCGAAAATACAAATATCATTTCAAAGAAATGAGATATTATTTTCGAGTAATTAAAAATTCTCAATAAGCGGAGCAAATGCGAAACCTCGTTTTTTTTTTTTCTTTTTTTTTTTTATACGTTTTTATTTTCTTCAAGAAAAAGAAAACTCCTTCATACAATTAATATTTTTTTAATCTATAACAAGAATTAATAATTAATTTCTATGACACTGTATAAACGTCTATCATAATCCTCGAATAAATTTATTGAAGATTGTTGAATACCATGGCCAAAGAAAATGACGTCCGTATTAACTATTATATTAATAAACATTTCAATTATTAGAAATTTGTTTAATGACAATCATAGTACCCCATATATATATATATATATATATATATATATATAAATTTAAATAAATAAACAATTTTGTTACCGAGACAAATAATTCATTGGATACTATTATCGTACCCTTCCATGATAGATTGCACGACTTCATGCTCTTCATTATCAAAAAGAGTAACATTTTTTGTGATTTCAATGACAACGAATAAAATGGTATTTGACAGCTAAAACAAAAAGAAGAAAAAAAAAAAAAAAACAAAAAAACAAAAGTTAATATTATTATATTCCTTCGTAAAAGTATTAAAAAATAATTATTGACTTGTTACGTGAGCTCGTATGAATTGATCGAATATTTGAAAGGAAACGAAAAGAAAAAAAAAGAAAAAAAAAAAAAAGGAAAAAAAAGGGAAAACAAAAAAAATATGATTCTATTCGAGATATCAATTCGATTAAGTAACTTGATGGCATTTGATTTTTGTCGTTCCGCGGCTAAAATTTATCAGAAAAAAAAAAGAACAAAAAAGAAAAACAAAAGAAAAAAAAAAAAAAAGAAAAAAAGAGAGGAAAAAAAAACTTCATCCGTATCATTCAACTTTTTTATCTTTTCCATCTAATGACGTATACAATGTACATTACATGTGTAATCTTAATGATATTAAAAATTATTAAAAAAAAAAAAGAAAAAAAAAAAGAAAGAAAGGAAAAAAAAACTTTATCCGTATCATTTAACTTTTTTTTATCTTTTCCATCTAATGACGTATACAATGTACATTACATGTGTAATCTTAATGATATTAAAAATTATTAAAAAAAAAAAAAAAAAAAAAAAAAAGGAAAAAGAGAAAAAAAAAAACAAAAAAGGAAAAAAAAAATGTCAATAACAATTAATTCCTATTTCGCGAAAGAAAATGATTATTAAGCAAAATTTTTTCTCTTTAAAAAAAAAATTATTATATGAGAAATAAATTCAATTAAATTAAATGAATAATCTATATAATAGCTGATGCCAGTCAATTAATTTTCCATATACTTTTATCATTTTTTTCTTCGTCAATGTGACAATTAAAATCAATACGTCATCAATACAATAGAACGTAATTATGATTCGCAATTATTATCATCGTATATATAATAAATAATATTTAATAAATATTTAATAAATAATAACAATAAATAATACTTACAGTTCTATGAATACATTGTCATTGTGATCCATTAATTTTTGTCCAAGATAAAAGTAAACATATATTACAGAAAGTGATGAAACGACGTAACAAAAAATCGTCAATTCTTCGGTTCTGCTCAGCTGAAGGGATAATAATTGTAGTACCTAGAAAGAAAAAGAAAAAAAAAGAAAACAAACGAAAAGAAAAAAAACGAAAAAAAGAAGAAGAAGAAGAAGAAAAGAAACGAAAAGAAAACGAAAAAGAAAAAGAAAGAAAAGGAGAAGAGAAGAAAAAAAAAAGAAAAAAAAGAACGAAGAAATTAAACAAACCACGGCAAATTTCTCATCCAATGTCACACGACTATTCGTTATACGATTAATAAGCTCGTAAGTGTAACGATCATTTTCTTTTTTTTTTTTTTTTTTTTTTCTTTTTTTTTTTTCTTTTCTTTTCTTTTTTCTTTCATGTTCGTTTCAGAAAAATATTTTTTCTCTTTTTCTTTTTGTTTGTTTTTTTGTTCTTTTTCTTTTTTTCTTTTTTCTTTTCTTTTTCTTTTTTTTTTTTTGCCTTTTTCTTTTGCTTACGTAAAAGTAATCTATCACGACAAAAACGAACGCCAATAAACCTTCGAACAGATGAAGCGTTTCGTAAAATAATTTTATTAAATCGACGAATCTTGAAGAAGAAGCGGGAGAAAAAAACGAAAAGAAAAAAGAAAAAGAAAAAAAGAGATAAAACGTATTACCGATATTATTGATATTAATTATTCGTAAATGTTAATTAAATAAATATGAAAAATATAAAAATTGTATACAAACTCGATCGTTTTATCGTAAAATTTGATGATATTAATTAACCATTCCTTTTCGTCGATTAATTCGATATTATTTTTAACATGATAAATATTATGTCGATTATATTTAAATCTCTCGTCAATTCTCCATCTATAAAAAAAAAAAAAAAAAAAAAAAAAAAGAAAAAGACAGAAAAAAAAAGTGTAAAAAATAAAAAAAAATCCACAGGACAATTGCTTGTTAAATATTATAACGATTAATAATTTTTCTAATTTATAATATTTCAATAGTAATCTTAACGATAACTCACACGACGATGTTCAAAAGAGCATAAGCATGCTGTATAACAGCTATGTACATTGAATAATTAGCAATCCCTATAATTGTTACGACAACAATAATCATATATTGTATGGATATACCCAAGAAATAATTGATATGATTTTTCAAAAAATAATCAATACGAAGTGGCAATATTAATTCGTTTTTATTTATCCAACCAAAGATATATTGAAAAATCTTTAAAAAGGATGGAAATATCAAAAATGCTATATAAAGATTAAACCAAACTGAAATAATAAAAGTATCGATTATGATTTACAATAAATATTTTTACACCTTTTTCTTTCTTTTTTTTTCTTTATATATATATATATATATATATATATATATATATATATATATATATATATAATGGGTTGTTCGGAAAGTAATTTCGTTTTTTTTTTTTGTGAAAACGAAAGACAATTTTTGTATAATGAACAAATATTTTATTAAATTATATATTGGTCATTCTGGTCCAATACCTTTTACCATCTTTCTGATAGTAGCATGATTCCACGCTCATAAAATTTTTGGTCTTTGCTGGCAAAAAACTGATCGAGGTGGTTTTTGACCAACTCGTTTGAAGTGAAGGTTTCACTGTCTAAAAAATTTTGCAGTGCCCGAAACAAATAATAATCCGAAGATGCCAGATCTGGAGAATATGGTGGATGTGACATTGTATCCCATTCAAGCTGTAAAAGCTTTTGGCGAGAGATCAAACTTGTATGAGGTCTTGCATTATCTTCGAGGAACACTATACCTTTTCTGTTGATTAATTCTGGCCTTTTCCGTTGAACTGCATCATTCAGTTTGTCCAGCTGATGACAGTAGACTTCCGAATTAATTGTTGTGTTATCCGGTAAAATCTCAAAAAAAAAAAAACGATTCCTTTAAAATCCCACCAAACAGACAGCATCACCTTTTTTTAATGGATATTGACTTTGGAAATGTTTTGAGCCTGTTCATCTTTTTTGCTCCATGATCTCTTGCGTTTGACATTGTTATATACAATCCATTTTTCGTCCCCAGTAATGATGCGCTTCAAAAATGAATCATTTTCGTGACGTTTGAGAACCGAATCACAGATGTCAACGCGACGACACAAATTTCTCTCCGTGAGAACATGGGGAACCCATATATCGAGCTTCGAGGTTAAACCCAAGGCCTTTCAAGTGGTCATAAACAGTTGAATTTGATAAATTTAATCTCTCACCGATCTCACGTGTTGTTATTCGCCGGTTTGCATCAACTAATGCCTTTATCGTATCTTTATCAGCTTCAACCGGCCTTCCAGAACGTGGTGCATCTTCGACATGAAAATTGCCGGATCGAAATTTTGCAAATCAGTTTTGACACTGGCGTACTGTCAACACATCTTCTCCATACACATCGGTTAATATCTTTTTGGCTTGAACAGCATTTTTACCTTTTCTATAGTAAAAAAAGTAAAATATGACGAAAATGCTACTTATTGCTCTCCATATTTAAAAGGGCACCAACCAAAAACTACTGCGTAGAATCAATTGGACTTTTTCACACACATAAAAGCCTTGCTATATCAACTCTCAAAACATATAATGATTATGCGTCTTAAGTGTGAAGTTAGGTGCAAAAAAATACAATTAAATTATCCGTCGGGAAAAAATAAAATTACTTTCCGAACCACTCAATATATATATATATATATATATATATATATATATATACATATATACCGAACATTTAAAACATGATTTATATCAAGCCGTACTAGCTATTGCAATCGTACGAATTCTGCTAATGTGACCGTATCTTTTTAAAATCATCAATTCCGGTTTATTGTCAAGAACGTCCCAATCGCATTTGATACGATAAAGAATTTTTCTCATCTGAAATTCGTATATAAACAATTCGCAATCGACGAATATTACAATAAACGAGAGTGTGCGTTTTATTATGAAAAGAAGACGAAGAAAAAAAAAAAAGAAATAATATTTTTAAGGTAATACAAACAATTGCGCCGTTCGATAATAAATTGTAATAACAAGATCCAAAGCATAAAGTTGGCAATGTTATTTCCAATAGCTTAGCGATTGTTTTTATTTTTCCATCTGCCGTGTAAAGCGTATAGATCTATAGATAACGAGGAAAAAAAAATAAATAAATAAATAAAAATTTTCCATTCAATTATTAATCATTTATATTTGAATGAACAACAATGCTTGTCGAGCTTGTCTCGAATTATTCGTTCCAAAAAAAAAAAAAAAAAAAAAAAAAAAAAAAAAAAAAAAAAAAAAAAAAAAAAAAAAAAAAAAAAAAGCAAATTACGAATAGAAACGAAGAAAACGTACGTGTTGTAATATCCCAAGGATTATCATAAGTATGATGAAACAAACGTAAATCAATTGTTTAGACGACATTCGATATTGCCATAATCCAAGGATTTTAAATAATATACGATTGTAAATGTAATACTCGTTGTTGACAAAGTCCTTCTCCTTTAGAATCATACTTCCTTCTCATTTGACTTTCTAACATCGACTAACATCAATATCCCTTATATTTTCCAAACGTCATTAACTATTCTAATCATCCATCCTATATTATAAATTCTTAACAATTTATTTTCATAGAAATGTCCATATAATTTTATCGTGAATCGATATTAACCGTAAAACTTTTACGATGTTCCATAACTTTCTTACATTATCGATTAGTATTATTATAATGAAACGTCTGTCATTATTCCTCGACTATTACTTCATTTTCTTGACCCACCCACCCCTCCAAACCCTAAGCTTTGCATTTTAAAGTACTTCATCCCTTCTCTCGCAGGCGCATGCGCTTTGCGTTACCAACCCCCCTCTTTGCTGTTCCATTCTTACGCAGTTTAATTTTGTCACTCGAACGTGACGGACGTGTCGTCGACTTCAATAAAATAAAATCAATATTAATGATTTAATTGAACGACGTTTTTGATCTTATCATTTGTACGATAATAAAAAGTGTGATTAAAAAAAAAAGAAGTGGGAAAAGAAAAAGAAATAAACAGGGTGAGTCGTTAAAAACAGAACAATGTTTTTTTTTTCTTTTTCTTTTTTTTTTCTTTTGATTAAACGAAAGAATTGTTTAGGATAATAGTGAAATTATTTCCAGATGGAATGTCGGAAAGTGCAAAGATATTTTTTTATTTTTTGCAAAACTTCAAGACAATTCATATATATATATATATATATATATATATATATATATATATATATATATATATGTATATATATATATATATATATATTTATTTATTTATATATATTTTTTTTTCTTTTTTTTTTTTTTTTTTTTTTTAATCCATCAACTTCGTTGTTTTTTTGCTATATATCTTTCTTCTATGTATCTCCATATATTAAAAAAAAAAAAAAAAAAAAAAAAGAAAAAGTAAAAAATTACAAATTCGTGATTTATTATGAAATAATATATGAAGATCCATGCAAATGGTAAAGGTCATAATTTTTTTTATTGCAAAAAATTCTAAAAAAATAAAAAAAGCAGATGAATGATAATTAATTATATATCTATCCATAATTAATTATATATTCATAATTAATTATATATTCCCGATCATATTTTTTTAAATTACATACATGCATATATATTTAAAATATTGTGCATATATGGAAATATGATATAATATACTAATTTAATATATATCTATATAATAAATAAATAAATATATATCTATATATATTTAATATTAAGTTATTATTTTATTAAGTTTGATTTAAACAAAACAATTTTCTATTAATTATTATATTGAAATTAAACAATATAAACATTTATTTATTATTACCAAAACACTAAGATTTATTATAAATTCAAAGTATTAAATACTATGCATACTTATATTAATACCAGGCATACATACAGAAATATATATATATATATATATATATATATATATATATATATATATTAGATTGGAAACTATGAAACGAGCGTTGAATGAAAATAAATAACTAAACAATTAACTAAACAACGTTTCATAGTTTCCAACCTAATAAATCTTAGAAAATACAAAAAAAAAACTCTAAACATAATTATTATTTCACTTAGTGTTATTTATCTGCATAATATATGAATATATATATATATATATATATATATATATATATACATATATTTACATTCATTTAATATAGAATTAATAATTTTTGAAATTTTATATGAACAAAACTCATATATTTATTATTTCACTGAAATAATCAATTTGGTAATTTATTTATCATTACGAAGGAATTAAAATCTTTTATAGATTTTAAGTATTAATTAATACGCATACTCACGTATACATGCACAAATATGAATAAAACTTTGTAAAAAATGAATTCTTTGAAATATTTTATATCTTTCACCTAAAAATCAAGGATACTATATTTTCAAAAGCATACATAGTAGTATATCATCGTAAGGTCGTTTTCGACAGTTAAAATCATTGCATGTTATAGAATACCATAGCGAAAGAAAATGACGAGCGTATTAACTGTTGAAAAATATTTCGATTAGTATAAACTCTTGGCTGCAAATCAAAGATTACATATATTTACGTCTTCAAAATCAAATACCGAGGCAAACAGATCGTGGGATATATCTTTTACACCCTTTATAGATAAATTGTATAATCTCATACCCTTCATTAACAAAAAAAGTAACATTCTTTGGGTTTTCAATGATAACGAATAAAACGGAATTTGACAGCTGGAATAAAAATTAATTAATCTTACATAAATCATATATTCATGAGACAGGATAGGATAAAATAAAAAAATAATAATATTGAATTTGTATATAAGTTTGTGCGAATTGATCAAATATGAAGAACATTATTATACTTTTTTCGCCAAATGACAAGAATCACGTGAGATATTTTATTAAATACGAAACTTGCTGTCATTGTGCTTTACCGAAAATGCACTGACAATTTGACGGAAGATATATGAACATATTTTGTATCATTCCAATTAATGACATAACAAGTAATTGTTATGAGAGATATTCAAGATGAAATAAAAATTGCACAACATTACGGGCTGCTAGAACAATTATATACAAACCAAATAAAAATACATACAGTGTTGCAAATACGTTGTTGTTGTTGTTTATCAATTTTTGTCCGAGAAAACAATAAGTATATATTACGAATAGAGATGCGACAACGTAACAAATATTTGATAATTCTTCAGTTCTATTTAACTTGAATGAAAGTACCTGAAATATCTTATAGGACAAATATTTCATTCTTAATCGATTATTAATCAAAGCTGAGAATATATTTGTAAGTTAAGAAGTATTTTTATTTAAAAAAAAAAAAAGAGAAGTAATATCTTACGTAAAAATAATCTAACATGATAAAAATCGATGCCAATAGCACCTCGAACAGATTCACCTTCTCGTAAAATAGTTTAATCAAATTAAGAAATCTTAGAAGAAAAAGAGAAGATATCGTAATGATTAAAACCTTTCAATCGACATATTGAAATAATAATTAATCGACGTAAATTATTAAAACATCGTATAAATAGACGTGTAAGATTGAATACAAACTCATTTGCGTTATTATAAAATACTATGACATCGATCATCCACTCGTTCTCCTTTGCCAATTCGGCATTATTATCGGCACAGCAGAAATAATTTGGTCCTTTTTTAAATCTTTCAGTTACTCTCAATCTACAATAAATCATTGATATTACAAGCTGACAGATTTCAAATTGACACATTCGCTGATGCATAATATTAAATATCATATCTATTGATTACTCACTCGACGATATTAAATAGTGCACAAGCGTGCTGTATTACTGCTACAAACATAGAATAGTTTGCAACCCCTACAATGCAAAGGACGATTATATCTTGGCATTGTAGAGAAAGTTGAAAATAGTAAGGCACTAGACTTTTTATAAAAAAATCAAAACGCATTGGTAACACCAATTCTGTTCTATCTATTGCACCAAAAATATATTGAAAGTTACTTAACCAAGATGGGAACATCAACATGGCAATATACAGATAGAAACAGACTAAAAGATAAAAATATGAATAATAGATTTTGAATATGACAATCATTTATGATGTGTTTGTGTTATTTTCCTGACTTGCTATTATAACTGTACACTTTCTGCTTAAATAGGCATATTTTTTCAATATCTCCAATTCCGGTTTATTCGTTATGTTATCCCAATCGCATTTGATACGATTAAGAATTTTCTTCATCTGAAATTTGCATTTATTACTACAAATTTATTATTTAAAATGGAACTCGTATTTAATGTCAATTATTTGCAAAAAAAAGACAAATAAAATCAGATATATGTTTTTCCAATGAGATACAAACAATTGCACCATTCCTGAGGAGATTGTAATAACAACATCCGAAGCATAAAGTAGGCAAAATAATTTCCATTAATTTAACGTAGTTCCCTAATTTTCGTTTCGCCGAAAATATTAGATAAATCTAAAGGTACAAAATCTTTCATATTATTCATATTTATTCAAAGAATATAGAAGACATTTTCAAATTATTCAATTGTTAAATATATTATAATTTAGTATCAATCAAGTTTACTTACCTCTTCAAATAATCCAATAATTAAGAAAATATTAATGTAACAAATGTAAATCAGTTTCCATGACGATGTCTGATAATCCCATAATCCAAGGAGTCTAAATAACATAAGATTGTAAGCGTAATACTCGTTGTCAACAAAGTCTTCCTCTTTGAAAATCATACTTCCGCCTATTCTGACTTTCTAACGCCGACTGACTTCAGCCACGTACATTTGTCTAAAATCATTAAATATTCTAATCATCCCCTATCTAGTAATCTCTTAATAATTCAATTTGACAAACACATTCAGAAATTGTCTTGCAATCAATACTATCCGTAACATTTTTATAATGTTCTATACCATTCTCACATTGTCAGCCAGGATTATACAATTAAACACCTGTGTCATTTCTCGACAATTACTTCAATTTCTTACCCCAACTTTGCATTATAAAATACTTCATCCCTTCTCTCGCAAGCGCATGCGCCTTGCGAATCTACCCCTTCTTGCCGTCCTATTCTCTCGCAGTTTAACTTTCTCAATCGAACGCAACAGACGTATCCTGAACTTTAGCAAAAAAGAATATGTGTTAGCATTTAACGTGTCAGCGTTATATTATTATCATTTCTACGGTAATACGTGTGATAACAAGTGATCGTACGATGTTAATATCCATCCGAAAGATTGTTCCTTTGTTCGGATAGAGAAATAAGCATTGTCACTAATAACAGGCCAACGTTATTTTTGATTGAATGAAAAATTTTTTTTAGTACAATAGTTAAACTATTTCAAGATAAATATCGGACAGTGTAAAGATGTTTTTATTTTTCAAGACCGTCGATAAAATCTTTCTTTTTATGTAAACCTTCAATTACGTCTTCGCAATATATTCCCTTTTATGTTATTATATTTTTTTTTTTTTATATTTGCACCATTAGAAAATTTTGCACAGATAGAAAATAAACATGTAATGAAAAAAAAAAAAAATAATTACTTCGTGATTTATTTTGAAATAATATTTGATGATTCATGGAGCTATTATAGGACATATTTTTTCATCGCAAGGAATTAACAAAAATGATGAAAGAAAGTAATTATTTATAATTGACTAATATATTCATGATCGTATTTCTTCTATTACATATATGCATGTTTACCTGAATTAATGTATGTTCGCACGTGTGTATGTATTTGAGTGTGTGTGTGTGTGTGTGTATGTATATTTCTTTCATATATTAAAATCTTATTACAAATTAAAAAATATGACAAAGCAAAATTATTTTACTTATGTTATTTTTATTTGTTCTGCATCATATACATATATATATATATATATATATATATATATATATATATAATGTAGAATCATTTTCTTAAGTTACATTTAAACATAACACTTTTTTAATAAATATTCAGTTAAATTAATCAAGTTAAAAATTTATTTGTCATTACGAAGAGATTAAGATCTTTTATAAATTCGAAATATTAAATAATACACAAACTCATGCACAAACATGTAGAAATGTAAATATAAATTAAAAAAAAAAAAAGATTTCTTGGAAATATTTTGTGTCATTGACATAAAAACCAATGATAATATATTTTCAAAAGAATACATAATCGATTACTATCATAGAGTATTAAATTCATATCATTTTATAGAATACCATAGCAAAAGAAAATGCCGAGCGCATTAACTATTAAAAAATATCTCAATTAGTATAAAATAATTTTAACCAATCAAAAACTACATATATCCACGTATTCAAAATCAATTACCGAGGCAAACATATCGTAAGATATATCATTAACACCCTGCAGGGATAAATTGCATACCCTCATGCTCTTCATTATCAAAAAAAGTAACATTTTCTGCGTTTTCAATGATAACAAATAAAACGGAACTTGACAGCTGAAAAGAAAATAATTGATCTTACATAGAACACATATTAATGGGTCAGTATACGATAAAATATGAAAAATTATATTGAATTGATATATAAACGCGTGCGGATTGGTGAAATATAAAGAAAGTCGTCATACTTTTTTCTCCAAATGGAAAGAATCACATTTGATACTTCGTTGAATATGCAACATACTGTCATTAGAGTTTATCGGCCGCACTGAGTATTTGTCGGAAGAAATATTATAAACATATTTGTATCATTCGAATTAATGAAGTAATAAGTAATTATTATGAGAGATATTCAACACGCAATGAAAATCGGACAAAAATACGGATTGCTAGAACAATTCATACCAATCAAATAAAAATACTTACAGTGTTACAAATACGTTGTTGTTGTGGTCTATCAATTTTTGCCCGAAAAAAAAATAAGTATATATTATGATCAGAGATGCGACAATATAACAAATATTTCTTAATCCTTCAGTTTTATTTAGGTTAAAAGAAAACATTTGAAATATCTAAAAAACAAAACAATTTATCATTCTTATTCAATTATTTATCAAAGCTAAGAATATATATTTGAAAGTTAAAAATCATTTTTAATTTGAAAAAGGGGAAAAAGAAATATCTTACATGAAAATAATCCAACATGATAAAAATCGACACCAGTAATGCCTCGAACAGATTAATCTTCTCGTAAAACAGTTTAATCAAACTGACAAACCTTGAAACAAATCAAAAAGAAAACATCGTAAAATTAATACTTTTCAATCGAAATATTGTATAAAGAATTAAAACATTGTGTACATAGAAATGTAAAATAGGATACAAACTGATTTGCGTTATTATAAAAAATTATAATATCGACCAGCCATTCCTTTTCCTTGGCCAATTCGGCGTTACTATTGGCATAACAGAAATAATTTAGATCTCTTTTAAATCTTTCATTTATTCTGAATCTATAATAAAACAATAAAAATACAAGCTGCATCCTTCGTATCGACAGATCCACTGTTACGTCATATTAAATATCGTACACATTGATTACTTACACGACGATATTAAACAGTGCACATGCATGCTGTATAACTGCTACGAACATAGAATAGTATGCAACTCCTATTGTGCAAAAGATAATTATATTTTGGTATTGAAGAAAAAGTTGAAAATAATAGTACATTTGATTTTTCATAGAAAATTCATAACGCATTGGTAACATCAGTTCTGTTTGATTTATT